GTGGAAAGCATACAAAAACTTGCTTCCAATACGACGACACGTAGGGTCGTCCTCGACAAGCAAGATTTGTGGCGGCCTAATCCACCCTGGGTCAGGGAAAGCACTCTTCTTCTTTCCCTCGGGTACCTTGGGCTCATTTTGGTCCACGGCTTTTGGTGGAGCAGCGTATGGGATGTTGTTGATGTGCTCGCTGTACATGGGATCAATACCATTGGAGGATCCAACTGGATATACAAGGTTGTCCAAGTTGTCCAGGCGCATCGAGTTTGTCGAAGTCGCTGATGGCGGGCCGCGGCTTGTGGGCCGCATTTGTGCGCGAGCAAAGTCTGGTGGTGGTGTTGTCAAGGTGCCATTCATCCTCATGGTAATCTCATTCATGTGCTCCAGGTTGCGGGGGTTCAGCATGGCATCGGCGTTGGTTTCACTGAGAAGCTTAGAGGCATGCTGCAATGGCGAAGCCGGGTTGTCGTCGTCATTGTTCGATGGGGGGTCCATGTTGCCATTCTGGGCTTCACCGCCATTGAAGACGAGCTTGCTATTCCTCCGCTGCGTCGCATCAACCCCATGCAAGAAAGTCATGATTTGCTGCATGACATGCTCGTGGTTAACGACCGTCTTTTGTAAACCAATGACCTCTTGCAAAAGCATGGAGTGATGAATGTTCAGTTCGTTGTATCGGCCCTCGAGCTGGTGTAATTGGGCTTGTGTCGCCATTAATTGGCCGCTGACCATGTCCATTTGCTGTGAGGGCGCAAAGTCTTCAGCGGCTGCTTGGTTTGGTTTTCGTGGTGCGGGAGCCTTTCGGCGAATGTTGTCGAGGGCATCTTTGTTGTTCATCTTGAAATCGGGGTGCTTGAATTCCCAGGCCTGTGTGGTGTTGGTTAGCCATGGTCAAGTCAAACGTGGGATGGTATGTCCAGCGAACGAAAGCCGCAAAGAGCGTGTGTGCAAAGCGTACCCCAGGTCCATAGGGCGACTGCCCATTTTCTTCATTGTTGTGGCGGACTTTGTGGAAATCATATTTGTTCAGTTGGCGCACAAAACTGGCAAAGTTGCTGTGCTTGAAGTGTTTGGGGAGTATGTGTTTGGTAAACTTTTCGTTCTGGCTCGGGGTTAACTTGCTTGCAACGAAACAAATGGGACTAGTAGATGCATACTTCCAAGACGACAAAACTGTCACCGTCATTGCCCCACCGGACTACACTTTCGTCGCTGGGGTTCTCGAGCATCCTGAATTGGCGTTAGTTGATTCAAGGGCCTCGGTCTGGACAGCTGCGCGCCTCAACGTACTTGTACAGCTTGCGCACAAAGTCGCTCGAGTTGTTGGAGCCGCCTCCACCGCCTTGGTTGGAATCCATGGTGCCGGGAGAGTTAGAGGCGCAAGAGGCGCAGAATGCCTGGGTGGCCGTCCAAGTGGGTGCGCGACAGGAACAGGCACCTCGCGTCGATGGGCAAGATGGATGTCGAGAGGGCGGGCACGGACAGGAGCAATTGGGACGAGGCAAGTCGAGAGGGCGGCAAACGGCGGAGGGCGCGCGAGGCTCAGGGTGCGCGTTGGAATGTACGGGTGGTAGGGAGTGGTCGCTTGGCAGAGAGAATGGAGGGTGAAAGGGCGATGACGAAATTAGCCAAAACAGGCGCGGCTTGTCGCAGGAGAACGGAGGGCAATGGACGAGATCTGGACCTTCAGGTAGAAGAGGCAAGGAGACATGGGCTCTGCTCGTTGGCTTGTGAGCTAAACGGCCCTAAAGCAGGTTAACCCGGGCCTTGAGAGGATTGCAGTCGAGCATGGGCTAGGGGTGCCAAGCGGGCGTGCCGAGCGAGGAGAACAGGGATGCTGGGGCGGGCGGATACGAGAGGGCCGTGTGTCCCTTTTTTATACATTTACGCATACATTGTCGAGCGCCGCCACATAGCATCAAGCCCGCATGCGTGGCTGGGGTACATGTCTTGGTGTCTGCGGCTGTGGTCGATGGAGGGGGGGTGGTGGAAAAGCGCGCAGACATGCAAGGTGCGGTCGTGGCGGCAGTGGTGGTGGTGATGGTGGTGGTGATGCTGCCGCCCAGGGCACCGCACGCCACCCTCTCCAGTCGCTGTGCCATGGGTCTCTTCGCCCTCTTGACGTGGGCAGCTCCGCTAGCTATGCCGCTGACGGCCCATGACCAGCCGCACAGTAGTAGGATCGGCACCGCACAGCAAGCGTGCGAGATGCACCCACTAACGCACCAGTGGGCCCCCCCTCTCCCCCCAAGCCAAGTCATTATCCGCAAGCTGCTTGCCGCCGTGAGGCCTAGAGTACTGCTCTTGGTTGGCATGCGCACCGCAACGTATTTATGGAGCCTGTCACGTCCGAAACGGGCGTCTGGATATTGTGGGTTGCATCCTCTTAGAGACGTCGGTGAGGGAAGGGGCTGCCCTTGGCTGTCGCCCTCGCCCTGGCCTGCGCCTGCCGCCTTCCGCCTTCCGCACAGCTAAGCCAAAACTGAGCACCCCCACCTTCACCACCACCATCACCCCCAGTCCACACACACACACGTGCTCTACTACGTATGTACACACGTACCCACGACACTCTACTTACTACTACTACTACTACTACTACTACTACTACTACTACTACTATTACCACTACGTACACACGCACTCTCTCGCCTGTCTACTAGTGCTGCATCCGCCATGTTCTCTGTTGCCTCTCGTCGTCTGCCCCTCGCGCTCCCCCTCGCTGGCCGCCGTCTCTTCCATGCTTCGTCGCCCGCATTCGTCAAGGTGGGCGACAAGCTGCCCGACGTCGACCTGGTCGAGGGATCACCCGGCAATAAGGTCAACCTCGCCAAAGAGTTGACTGGCAAGGGTGTCATTGTCGGTGAGCCCAACACGGCGCCAATCTCCATTTCCAAAAACGCGGCCGTCTGACAGAAGCCGCAGGTGTCCCAGCCGCCTTTTCGCCTTCGTGCTCGGAAAGCCATGTACCCGGCTACATCAACTCTCCCAAGCTGAAAGACGCCGGCAAAGTCTTTGTCGTCTCGGTCAACGACCCGTTTGTGTAGGTTTAGTCTCCTCGCAAAAATCTCCCCGGCAGCCACGGCTACCTCCTCATGGCTGACTCGGCGACACGGTGGCGGCCACGTCTTGTTTGACTCGTGGGTCATGGACTCGCCGTGCACAAGAGACATTGTCCACAAAAGAAAAAAAATTCTCCGTGGAAACAGTTCCTTGGAGCTGATTGTCATTTTCTGGTACTAACGTTATGGATTCATAGTATGAAAGCATGGGGTAAGATTCTTGATCCTTCCGGCTCGAGTGGCGTAAGTGTTACCTCGCATCATAGTCCAGCTACCCTGTATTAAAACAGCCAGATTCGCTTCTTGGGCGATCCTAGCCTTGGCTTCACAAAAGCGCTTGACCTGTCTTTTGATGGCGCATCCATCTTCGGAGGCGATCGTTCAAAGCGATACGCCCTCGTAATCGAAAATGGTACTGTCAAGGCCGCGCACGTAGAACCCGACAACACTGGGCTCAACGGTAAATCTTTCTTGGTGCATAAAGACATTACGCAGCTAACAACCTTAGTCTCCGCTGCTGAAAAGGTTTTGTGAAAAGACTAACGCAGCAAACATATACCGAGCGTCACATGGTAGTGCGCCACTGGGACTACACATGTCAGCCAAACTCGGACCTCATCCCGGCTTCGACTCGGCTTATGGCGCAACATAAGAGGAAAGGGCTATTCAATGCTATCATGTGCCCTTAGTAATCTCTTAGGTAAGAAGAACGACTATGCATTGCCCATGATTATGGCTCAATACATCATGTTTACACCACCCTCACAATTTTCCGACCCATCCCTGAACAACAAATCCATAACCATATCCCACACCTTTCTTTGAGATTCCTGAACCACACGGCATGACTGTAGCGGATATTTCTGATTCTGTGTCGCTGGCACGCCATCCCCCATGCTAAAAGAAGCCAGTCCTAGTCAGTTTATCGCTTTACTGCCATCTGGCATCTCTTTCATGTTAGCGAAGTATGTCGATAGTATTACATCTGCTGTCTATATTGCACTATGACGAACAATAGCCGTGGTTGTATCGCTGTCATGGCAGCTCTGAAATATAATGGTTCTCGTAGAAAGATTATCATTGGCCGAGCAAACCATGTGCCGCTGCTCAGCTTTGGTAGACATTCTCAGAGTTGCCTCATTCTTTTTCGAAGAGGCCATTACTGTACGCTCAATATCTAACTTCTATCGTTGATCGGCGCGACATGCGTGTGTCGTGGGCAGCGATCGCACGGGTCAAACTAACATAACAGAGCAGCCAGTGCTCAATTGAATAATAATCAGAGTACGTATTACCGCGTTGTCTAATGCTCAACTTAATACCACGGCATTCGCTCCACCCGTTCCACAATATCTTGAATATTCGTCCCCCACTTTCATAATTATTCTCCATCCTGAGGTATGCCACTTGTCTCACATCCATTATTTGATCAAATCAAGATCGAGATCGTGATTGCACGGGAAAGAGCCAAGGTTTACAGATACGGTTCAAGGGAAACACACTCTCGCTCGTAATCCGGAGCATCGTGTTTTATCTCTTCTCCGTTCTCCCTTGGGTCGCTTTCTCAACCCCAACATTAGGGTGACCAATCGGCCCTTTCTATTCGATACGGATCAACATTCAGACCACGGACAAAAAACTCTCCCTAGAACCAGGGGACAGGCGGAAAGTTAGATTTGGGGGTTTGAGTTTTGCATCCATTATGCTCTCAACCCGTTGTCGCGGTGGTGCGGGTTTTACGGGATATTTCTCTCGTCCCTCCTCATCATAGGCAATGAACAGCAACAATCCTATGGTATTGTAATCATTTCTTCTGAGACAACCAAGTTCAAAATACATGCATGGGCCATCTTGTAACAGCCGCATCTGAGAACTACCCCAATGACTACACAAAAAACAAACAGTTGCATATCAAACATGCACTGCGGGGTAAGCATCCTACTTTGACGCATATGCACAAGTACCGAGATCCCTCTTCGTAGCCGGAACATGCGGACTGATATCAAAATCAAAGATATCCATCGGTAGTCCCATAGTCGTACACGCGTTGGGAATATCGACAATGCCCGCCACATGTCCCTGTACCGGTGCACATGAGAGCAGCAGATAGATCTGATAGTCGCTGTAGCCTATTTGAAAAAAAATGTCTCGGTTAGCGCCATAAACATGTAAGGGAAAAAAAAGGAAGAAGAAATAAGGAAATTCAAAGTGTTTCATAGCATGTTCATGCCATGACAAAGGTAGGGATATCCCAAAAAAACAAAGCCCACGTTGAAAAAGAAAAGAAAAATCGTAGAGTAAGAGAAAAAGAAAAAAAGAAGGGGAGTGAGGAATGAAGATAGATGATAAAAGAGCTAAAAGAAACAACCCGCGAAAGGAAACGAGAAAACCAAACTCACCATACCGCCTCAAATACTCAATAGCCCTCAAACACGTCTGCCTATACGCCACCGTCGCATCCAAGTAATGTTGCTTCCCCTTCTCATCCACACTAAACCCCTCAAAATAAATATACCTCCCGGGACCAAACTGCGGCTCAACAGGTCCAGGTATGTAAATGGGACTCTTGATATCGAGTTCCTTGACACCACCTTTCATAACACTAAACTTGAGCGTAATCACCCCCGCCATCTCAATCGCACCGCAAAAGGAAATTTCGCCGTCGCCCTGGCTAAAGTGCAAGTCGCCGACGCTGAATTTAGCACCAGACACATGGACGGGGAGGTAGACTTTGGAGCCGCGGGAGAGGTTCTTGATGTCGCAGTTTCCGCCGTGTTCGGGGCGGCCCGGGATGGTGCGGGCGCCTTCTTGGCCGATTTTGGATTTTAGAGAGCCAGAGGCGGTGCCGGCGTGCGTGTTGAGGGGTTGAGGCGGTTGGGCGACGATGCGGTTGAGGTGGGTGTGTGTTGAGATTAGTTCGGCTTCGCGGGTGTTCCAGGTTTCGAGGATTTCTTGCGAGGGGGCGCAGCCGAGGACTTTTGTGGTCTTGAGTTGGTATATTTTTTTTTATATATATCTTTTTGTTCTGCTGTTTGTGGGGGGTGGGGAAAGGGAAAGGGGGGGAGAAGGGGGAGAAGGGAATATGACTTACTACCAGGATGAATCAAGCCGGCGAATCTAACACCAGGAATGTGTCTGGAACTACAGAATATACCTTCGAAATCCCATATCGCTTTTGCTCTTTGCTCTTGTCAGTCCTCGTTCTCCTTTTTCAAAACCCCACATAATTCACACATAAAGTAATTTCGTGGAACAAAACTTACGGCTCAGGATAAATCTCATCTAGAAACCCGCCTCCGTTCTCTCTCGCGAAGATACCAGTGAAACCCCACGGTTGCTCATCCAAAGGCTGCACATCCTGAATCTCAACTACAAGTACATCACCAGGCTCTGCAGTCTCAATATCAAAGGGACCGGTTAGATAGTGGATCTTTGTGAGATCAACGTTGCGCACGTCGTCGGCTGAGTCGTTGTTGCCAATTTGGCCGCCGGTCCAGTCGACGCATTCGATCTTGACGACTTCACCGGGCTTGATGGTGGCGTACGAGGGGTTTTCAGGATGCCAGCGGTTCTAGAATTGGGGTGTGACTTTGGTTAGAACGGGATAATCAAGTGTGAGATGTGGGAGACACACGTGCAAGCATTCTTGCTCTGCTGCTGGTTTGTCTAGATCGACTTTGGCTGCGTATCGGATGGCGTCTTTACCCATAGTAACGGTTTGAAATCTGCAAGTTAGGAATTGGGACTGGGATGAAAATCAAAAGGAAGTAAGAAGGAGCAAACACGATCCATTACAGAAAGAGGGGCTCATGATATAATGTCAGGCGGACGAAGGGGGATGCCGAAAGGGTCAGGTCATGGATTGTTATCGCTACAACACCCAATTACCGAGATGCCGTACATTCCCTCTCAAACTATCGATACATCGTCTATGATAAGCTCAGTGATACGATGCGGTTACGTTATGTATCGTTGAATGGAGCTATCAGGCTACCTCCCATAACAAGACGCGTCAACCCCACTGCGGGGCATGTCCATATCGGACATCATCATCCCGCCATACTAGATAGCGTGGCAGTCCATTGCGCTTGACCGCCAACTGTCCAATTGAACCTGGCCGCCATTGCTTCCACGGAAATAAGCTGCGTGTACGTCATGGCTGAGGGGCTGCTCTCAGTTTAGGCCAAGCGGGGTGGACATTATGCCGTCCTAGCTAAATGTTTTCCTCGGAGTCTGGCGCACTTCAGACTGCTCCTTGGGCCTGTGCATTGCCAGATTGTATTCGTCCATGTGTTGCCAGGGCATATTGAGAAACTCGTGCTTGTTCTTCCAGCGGAGCGACTCTTCCTTGAACTTTTCGGCTTCAGTCGGCGGCAGAGGTGGTTCGGTGATTTTGGTAATGAGATACGCTGTCGAGGCTTCAGCGAGACCGTAGATTAGGACGCCGACGAGTGGGATCTTGACAAAGATGTAGAAGCCGAGGCCGAACCCAAAAAGGACACCGGCGCGGTCTTTGAACCAAAGCTTCTTCTGCTCTTTGGTGTAACGAACACGGCTGAAGTACGGCTCGAGCTTACGGGGTGTCAGCGGAATAAGGTTTGGGAGATACCGAAAGCGGAACATACCAGCTCACGCATAAGCGTGCGAGAAGAAAAGTAGGCTTGTAGGAAGCTGACCAAGTACCTGCGAGGGAAGAGGAGAGACATTGCGAAAATGGCAGCAGCTGGCTGAGTTCCCACCGCCTTCTTGAAAGTGTAGAAACTGGCAGCCGGAAGCACTAAGCGTCCTATGTAAGGCACGTAGGAGAGAGCCAAGACTCCCAGTGAAATGGCCGCCTTTCTGCTCTGTTTTGTGGCGTACATTATCACAGTCTGCTTGAGGGGCTTCTTCTCCTTCTTCTCCGGCTTAGGTGCATGGTCGGGGTACTTTTCAAGGTTGGGATAGTACATGGCGCGGAGGTTGTGCGGATCGTCCGTCTTGTGCTTTTGTACGTATGTCTCGTCGACCCAGCGCAGCGAGTCCATGAACCTGCAAAGATGGAGGTTAGACGAGCCCGAGTACAAGTGGTGGTGACTGACATTTGGTCGAGCGTCGGCGTCACATAGCGCATCAGCGTCATGAGGAAGAAGGGCACCTGAAGCACCGAGTGCTCAAGGAAGTGGAGGCCATCTATGATCGTTTCGTCCAACCCCGTCTGGCTCATGTCGACAAACAGTGAGAGAATCCATAGTAGCACTCGTACACCAACAATCTGAAATATGTAAGCGACGCTGTTTGCTGTGAACCTGGTCAGGCTATGCTCCGGAACGTACGGGAATGGCGACAATGATGCGGATGGCGACGCCAGCAGCTACGGCTATGGCGGCCTGGCGGTAGTGGTCGGAGGTAAAGAGACGCGGGTTCTGGAGGGCACGATTGACTGTGTAGGGTGTCAGACAGCAGCTGTGGAAGATGACGATACCCTGATGGGTAGGTAGCAACATACCGCCAACTAGAGTCAGCTGGGCGCCCCGCAGGATGGCATTGGGGTCGAAATTGGACACATCGAAGTTGGCTATGTCGATTTTGTCCATGGCGGGCAGTCTGAGTAGACAGTCGGACGAGCAGTGCAGTGGTCTGACGAGAGCACGCAGCAGAAGCTCAGTGCACACGTACGTAGTGGCTCCACGTCGGCGTCGACTGTGTGCTGTGCGAACGCCTGCGAACTGGTGGAGCAGATGACGAACATGGAGCTACTGTTTCTATGTATGGGGGCGCCAGCACCCGCGCCGTCACCGTTGCAGGTGCCATGTAGCGCTGTCGCGAACGCGGGGCATGCGCGCTGTCATGTATGTACATAGTCACTGCACTCTCTCTCACTCTCTCTACATGCACCTTGATCCGTCTTGTCCGCTGATACTGCGGTGTGGCTCATGTCAGAGAGACGTGGGGTTGCCGCCGCCATGGGCTGACCGGGCTGAGACTCGACACCGTCCCAGTGGCCATGGCGGTAGCGCGTACTCGTCCGCCGCCGGCCAGGGACGGACAGAGCTGAGACGACCTCGCCCTCAACACGCACACGACTCTTGTTGAGCACACATCGAATCCTCCTACCAGGCGCCGGACGCTTTCCTGTATACACTATTCCTCGCCGCAGCCTCTTCAGCCCCGAAATGCTCGCATAGCTGACCCGCCATGTCCCTGCCGGCTTCACCCCAGCACCTCCATGACGCGCCCTCCTCTCTGACTGCCAACAACCCTGTAGCCGCACGGAGGAGCTTCACCCTTCCCACGCGCACCGCACCAAGGACAGCATCGGTGCCTGCGTCTACAAACAGCGTCGATGGCATCGAAACTCTCTTTGTCTGTTCCGACTCTAGGATCTTCTCCTTTACCACAGCCACCTCGGCTCGGCGCCCCTCACCAGAACGTCAGGGTGACGCATGGCAGCCGATACCGTGGAAGACGCTCACCGAGCGTACCCTTGCAGTTGGTATGTCGTCCTAGGTGCCACGAGCTGTGAGCCATGCTAATGCCTGACCAGGTGTCCTACGCATCTACCGTGTAACCGCGTCCAATGTCTCCTTCCTCAACAGCGGCAACCTGCTCCATACCATCTTCCCGCGTTCGCAATGCTGGTGCGTCGACAACCAGTCCGTCTTCGTGCTGCGGGTCCGGCAAGACTCGTATTATCGTATCGAACTCCCCTATGAGACTGAAGAGGACAAGGCCAAAATCACCCACTTCCAGTCGGTCCTCGCCCAAGTGATGCAGTATGAGCGGACACGATGCCCCTTCCGACGAGGCGCTGGGGTCGAGGAGCTGCAGCGGCCAAAGAGTCCGCCGCGCAAGACAATCAAGAGAAAGCCTTCAGGACAGGCGAAGAAGTGGATTTTGGACAAGACCTGGGTGCCGGAACAATACGGGTCGCGGCCTTCTACTGCCGGGACTGAACGCTCAGAGGCCAGCACTGCTTCGTCCAACGACGAGGATGATCGACGGAGCATCTGCACGGACAATAGTGAGGCGGTACCCGAAGCACCAGAGATTCCGTTTGTGAGGATACTTCCAGACTCGCACAGCTTGCTGCCCTCATCCAAGCCGTCCCCGCGCCGTCTCTCTGTGGCAGAACGCGCAAGCATCTTTCAGGGTGTACGCTCGGTCACGGCACCAATCAAGACGCAGCGGACGGGATCTGTGTCTGCAATGCAGAGCATCATTGAGTCGCCAACAGGTCAGCCGAGTAGGGACGCAGAGAAGCCAGTGCTTGAGCGTCAGGTGTCGGATGCCGGCAGCGTGGTGTCCAGCACTGACTCATTCTACTCTCTCTCGACGGTTACTCCACGAAGCCCCTCACCCAAGTTTATGGACGCTGAGACGGTGGACATGAACCCGTGGGCAGCTACCTTCTCAGCACAGCAACAAGACGAGCCTAGGGGACGCTCGACACACCGCAGACATATATCAGAGGCGACGGTACGTGCTCTGTCGACTGAACGGACCGATGCATCTGCGCCCGTGACTGCGACGGTCCCATTCTATGCTACGACGATTGTGTCGACCAATATGCGCCCGTCGTCAGCGCCGTCTACCCCGCCGCTGGTCAGTGACTCGGACAGCGACAGTCTTGGCCGCGCCAGCCTGGATATTGCCACACCACCAGAGGGCATCAGAATGAAGCGACTGACGGGGGCGTCGCAGCGACGGGCGTTTTCCCCGATGCCCCCGACGCAAAACCTGTTCTATCCACCCAAGCACAGCCCTGGCAAAGAGTTTACCAATGCCCTAGTGCGCAAGACGTATGAGATTGTGCTGGGCCCGCCAGCACATCTGGTGTCGATGATGTTGCGGATTGCCACGACCATCTCCAACGGCATTGGGCTGAGTGCATATCGAGCCCGCCGCGCCGAGAAGATCCCGTGTTCGTGGGAGTCAGATGACGAAGCAGACTGGGATGAGGACGATTTCGGCATCCCGCTCAACAACATCAGAGAGGCAAATGTACGGCGACGAACGTTTTCTGGTGACGTGGATTGAGGCAGAGGATGAGCAAGAGACGGGGGCTGTGAATATAATTAGAAGAAGAGGGTTTGCCATGTGCGTAACGTGGTTTGCGTAATCTTGAATGATACCAAAGGGGCTTGTACGGTTAATGTCCGCATTTACAGGGGGTTAGTGAGTTTAGTCGCGTCTATGCTGCGACGGGGTCTTTTTTTTCCTTTTTTTCTTTTGAATTTTGTTTCTAGAATAAGTGATTGTAATACTGGGGAGGGGGGTGGCGGCATGTATGTAGATTATTTTGGTGAGGGGCCGGCTTGGTTTGGTTGGAGGGGTGGATGCGGAATGAGGAGGCCTAAGCGTGGACGAATGAGAACACATGTTCATTGTTTACTGCACACACACCGTCTTTGCCTGAGTCAGGCGTGTCACGCGTGGATGGGAAGAATGCGTTGGATGTGAGACACAGACAACAGACAGCAGGCTCTGTTGGAGTGTGTATGTACACACACACACACACACACATACATACATACATACACACACCCACTAGGTAGAAAACAGGGTGTATGACCTCAGCCCGGGACGGCACCGTTGGGGACGAGGGGTGCATGCGCCATGACATGTTGGCTGGCGACAAAAACCTGAGCATCTCGATTTCCGGGGATGCAGCTGAAGAGAGCCGCTGAGCCGGACGTCGCTAGCTCCCGTCTTGTCTGTTTTTGGTTGAGGAGGACGAGATTGCTTGTATGTCTGTCGGGCGGCAGCGCAGCTATGGTCACTCCAGCCCTCGTAAGTCTCATCGTCATCAGCAGCAGCTGGCCGAGGGGGCAGTAATGGTTGGCGGGGAGCAGGCGGGTGGGTGATAGACATGACATACGTACATGTACACACGTCCATGTGTGTACATACAATGGACGTATTGAGACGAGAAGCGCCGGGCAGGGTGAGGGGTCATCCATCCGTCTCTCCACCGCGTGGGGCGGTCAAAGGCACGGTGCAGGGCTACAGAGGCCCAGCCACGCTGGCAGAGTTTGGATCGCCTGTCCGACTTGTGCAACGCCTGTCCAATGGCGGCCAAGACTGCCTCGCGTGGCCGCGCACGTAAACCGGGACTTGACCGACTAATTGGCCTCTCCTGAGCATTCGGCCTAGTCTGGTCATGCTGCCAGAGCCCTCGTAAAATTCCCGCCCTGCTTGCCTGTCGCCGCCCTCGCCGCCGCCCAGCCGACTAGAGACTAAAAGACACCACACAGCGTCGCCTCGCTTGCGCCGCACCACGCCTGCCCGCCTGCCCGCCCACCCATCCATCCACCACGACACTACTACTACTTCTTCCCCCAGACGTCCCCTCCCCGACTCCACGACGACGAGGCTGCGACTTTTGGCTTCGTGTGGACGCGGCCGTCTAGCATGAAAAGAAAGATGGCCGACCTCGACGTGTTGATGGACGAGACGTTGACGTTATGCAAAACACCCCCAGTGCCCCGACGGCACCCCTATCGCCAGTTCTACCAGTACAAAAAACCAGAGACGACCGCGCCAGAAGACAAGCCCGACATCGACATGACCGGTCCGCCCATGTTTACCTTTGGATCCGACACCGACCTTGTGCCCCAGCCACTCTTCAGTAGGACCAACTCCATGCCCAGCAGGAGCAACTCGCTGCCCTCCGGATCATCGCGCCCCGTCAGACCACCAGAGCCTTTCCAGTTCAACTCGGACATTGTCAAGAGCCCCTCGCCACTCTTCAGCAGGAGAAACACGCTGCCGCCGCGCGTCCGACGTGCCATGGCCTCGGAACGAAAGCCCTCGCCGCTGTCCCATAGAGAAGATGCGCAACCGCCCGAGCCGACCCACCACCCCTCTGCCATCATGTCCCCGCCCACGTCACCAGATGAACAGCCACTCGCCCTATTCCCTACCATTACCACTACCACCACCACCACCGCAACAACGACCAAGCCACAGCCTACCCTGTCAAAAGCCACCCCATCAAAACCAAAACCCTTGCCGCCAAAAATCTTCCAAGCGATACCTCCTCCAACAAGGCCTCCACCACCCGTCCCGACAATGGCTACTCCATCGAAACCGGCACCCTCAAGAGTGATACCAACAAGGACGACACCATCAACGCCTTCATCCCTCACTGCTTCCACCCCGAAACGACCATCCCCGCTCTCCGGAAAAGGGAGCGTGCGCCGCCCCGGCCCCAGCCAAATTGCCCCTTTCCAACCTGCATCGCCTATGGTACTATCACCTGTCACTTCCCACACCAGCTCCGTAGCCTCGTCGCCTACCCCCTCCGTCTTCTCGGAAGCTGCCAGTTTTTCTGCCTCGGCACCATCAACACCATCGACACCGTCCTCATCCCCGCCCAGTTCCCCGGACAACCGTCCGCGCTCGCCAATGTGCTACTTCACACCGACTTACTGGACCATCATGACCTCACCCTCCCCAGTCTATATCCCAAGGCAGAAGCTAAGGCGCAAGGACAGCCCCAAGATCGAGAACCTGAGAACCCTCAGAGCAAAAGAGTCCGACGCCTGTCTGGAGGCCATGTACGACCAGCGAACATCGGCCTACATGGATTGGACAGGCTTCCAGGCCCTCTCAAATTGAACAAAAAAAACATGATTTACCATCTCGCCAGCATGACCTCATAGCCCATCTCTTATTACCGCTGGGCCCAGAATGATTTATTCCCGAGATGCTAGAACATGCTGGACGAGATGACAAGTGTGAGTTGTCCACTACACACGTTGCATGACGCAACCACTGACATATTCACAGACTATTATTTGCAGCATACTGCCTGCACCACCACACTTCTAATAATGACGATTTACGACTTATGACGACAATGAACCAGTATGGAGGATACGTACGGCGTTACAGAGCATTCGATTATAATACCCAGGGTTTGAACATTTAGCATATTGGTTTTGTACACCTGGTTTGCCATAGTCGCACGTCTTCAACGCACAGTACCCATGTAATATAATACTCCACAGGGCCAGTCAGCGCCCTGTTTCGTTTCTGCCACTCTGACGGACGTTCCAAACCAATACATCAGCGTGCATATCCATCGCAGAGCCTCAGCTTGGCGTTTCCTGCATGTCTGATACGAGCCCCGCCCATCTGCTGACCCAACGTGTGCAGCGACACACCCACTCGAGGCGCAGCTGCCTCGGACACCGCCAGTCATTCGCCGACCCTCCCCAGCACACGTCACAGCCGCAGTCGCTTTTTCTTGCCGCCACACCCACCAATGCGCATCGACTCTTGAATCATTGATTTTCGTTGCTCTACACCACTCAAATCCACCAAAGGGCTGCAACGCACACTGTATGCACACTACTCGTGCTAGACTCAGTGCCCCTGCGCCGCATAGCCGTCGTGGCGCAGCGCATTGCCGCTTCTGTACAAAGGTGGACCTCGCTAACCACACCTGAGGTGTAAGCGCATAAGTTGGCCCCCAAGAAGCCTTCAAGACCCCATGCAAATGGACGCAAATACAGCACACCGGAATGCGTATGTGGGGGGTGGGCGCGTTAGAAGATTTATAAGATGCTAGTAGTCCCCAGCTCTACACCTCTGATGGTGTCCTGAATTATCGGATTCCCGCACGTCATAGGTTTCAATCGACTCTGGCAGCGCAGCCTTGCAGGCAACACTGATATTCATAGAGGACTCAAGCACCTGACTCATTGTGTCACCACTACTGCAGGGACTGGGAAGAGGCCGCCCCAGGACAGATCTAGATATATAGGTGGCATTTGAATCTAGTCGTCGCATCCTAACTGTACTACCTACATTTCCAACCAACAACGCACTCGCAGATTTGAAAACCAGTGAATCTACTGGACCACCGGATCGAATGCAGAACACAGAACACGGAAAGAGAACCATCTGCCTATCTGAACAACCCTCAGACATGGAGCTTTCCAACTCGGAGAGGAACCCAAATGCGCCACTGCGGTTGCTCTCGCTCGATGGAGGAGGTGTGCGCGGATTGTCGTCACTACTTGTCCTCGAGACACTGATGGAGAACATTGCTTTGGAAGAGAAGAGACTTGGAAGGAGGGCAATGAACAATCATGAGCCACTCAAGCCATGTGATTACTTCGACCTCATTGGCGGCACATCGACCGGAGGAATCATAGCTATTATGCTTTCACGGTTACGGCTCGACTGCAAGCAGTGTATAGCCGTTTACAGCAAGCTGGCTGAGCAGATTTTCAAGCACGACCGATCTCTCAAGTTATTCGGTATGAAAGTGCCCACAGGAGCCAGCCGATTTTCCGGTGCCGTACTAGCAAACGCTATCAAGACCGCGCTCAAAGACTTGGGCTTTGACCCTGACGAGCTCATGTGGGACGAGGCGCTATTCGAAGAGGTGGAGGAGGCAAATGAACTACCTAGGGACAGCATCTGGGCAGATGCCGCGCCCGACTTGGTACTCACTGAAAGTCCACTGGCGACTATGAAAAATTCATTGGCTTCATTGGAATCGGGGCCACCGCTCAGTACTACAAGCACCACAAGGCCTTCATCTACACTCTACAGTTCAAGTCCGTTCACTCCAAAAGCCCCAACGCGAAGCCCCACATGGAAGCTTCACAAGCGGCAATCAGTCCACCGGAAAGCAAATGCAAAGGGCTGCCGCGGCTTTGTGCTCACCTCACTCAAGAACGCACTAGGGCTTCCAAGGATCCTCTCTACGTATGATCCAAACGACCGAACCACTCGCATCTGGGAAGCTTTACGGGCGACATCGGCAGCACCGACATTTTTCGAAGAAATGCAGTTTGGCACACCAAAAGTCACATACCTCGATGGTGGCGTGGGCTTCAACAATCCCTGTGCAGAAGTCGACTACGCAGCCAAAGCACTATGGGAGAACCGGTCTATTGGCGTCATAGTCTCAGTCGGAACGGGTCTCCAGAGTATTCCCAGCGTCAAGAAGATGGCCTCGTGGCTCCCCTTTGGTCTTGGAACCGACATCTCAATCGCCAGCGCACTCACCGGCATGGCGACTAGCACAGCTCGCGTCGACAACGAAATGAAGCGCATGTACAGCAACTCCGACACAAAGTACTTCCGCTTCGACGTAGACCGTGGCCTCGCCGACGTCAGCCTGGAGCAATGGATGAAGGAAGACGAAATGGCCAGCCTCACGGAACTCTACATGAACGACGGCCAACAAATCCGCGCCGCCCGCGACTTTGGCGAGCGCATGGCCAAACTCTCTGCTCTCCCCCCAAAATTCGAAATCAGCGCCACCCAATTCGCCGTCGGCATGTCCGGCACCCGCAAACTCGACGACTCGTTCAAACTCGTTCACGTAGACTTCAAAAGCGGAATGCCCATCGGCACCGGCCTCGACACCCTATCCCTCAGTCCCCCTAACCGCAGCACTTCCCCCACAGGTGAAGGCGGCCTCGCCCTCGACGACAACGGCCGCCTCCGCAAAATCTACCCCGTAGCCGCAGACCTGGACCACGACGGCCGCCGCGAAGAAGCAGCCGTATACCAGTGCCTCCACGCCGACAACATCTGTCTCCGCAGCATCAAAACCGGCATTCCCCAAGGCAAATACAAAGTCACCTTCCTCGTCTCTTTCCACTCCTCCGACCACACACCCCCGCGCGACGTCATCTTCAGCGTCGGCAAACCATACGACGCAGAGAATTTCGCCACGCGCTTTGTCGACGTCAAAATTACTCCAGATGTCGCGGCTGTGTTGCTCCAGCCTGATGCTATTCGTGTGCGTGTCGGTAGTCGCCGGTATGAAGAGTACAAGGGAAAGGGCTGGGTGGAGATTCAGGGGGATATAGAAATTAGTGTGGGCTTGGATGGCGCGTTGGGGTTCTTGGTTAGTAAGAGGTACAAGAAGGATGTTTTTGTTGATGGGTGGAGTTTTGGGGGCGTGAGGTTGGAGCCCGTGTTTGGGAGTAGTGTTGTTGGGAGTCCGAGGATTGTATAGTGATGATGGTTGAAGGGGGGGAGAGGGAGGTGTGTTGTTTCTTTTTTTGGGGGGGGTTGCATGCTTGGTGTTTGCTAGCGTTCTTGTTCTTGTTTTTCTTTTTCTTCTTTTCATGAACATATGTACAACGACATAGAGGTCCGACTGGGTTGGCTGTTTGTTTTATGAATAAGTTGGGAAGTCATGATAGTATTGGGCATTTTATACGGTTTATGTAGTCTCAAAATGATCAATCCAGTTAGAATTTTACCTACCGATCCACGTGACGTAGAAGAGCAAACACAGCTTTTAAGTCGTGACAGGAATACCCGGCTTCATCGGCTTTTTTCACTCTCCAATCCCTTACCTTAAAAGGGCGAAGTGAGCGCGGGGCTAGGGCTTTGCAGGGGGTCCTGTTTGACCTCACCTGCTTCAACTCCCCTTTTGCTGCCATTTCCCAATGTGGGATTTCCTTTGGTTATATAATCTGCCCTGTATCTCTCATAAGTTCTCCAGTCACACCTTTTTCTCTTTCTGTATATTCTACCTCCGTCTCTGCGAAACTCTTACTACCCTATACTTTTGTTTCCTTTACATATATATATATATACCTGATACCAGCAACAATCAACATGGCCCGCAACTTCCTAGACCTTCCGGCTGAGATGGGGAACCTTATCTGTGAGTACGTTCTCACAGAGGAGTATGGCCTCTGCTTCGAGACTTTCGGGGGTGTTGGTCGCTTGCGGTCAAGGCATCGGGGGGTGTTTGAGGGGTTGGAATGGGAAGACGAGGAGGAGGAAGTTGTCGACGTCGACAGCGACCAGGAGGAAACCTTGCTTTTAGCACAGCCATATATAAGCAGAACCTGATGAGCGTCGACGAAATGATGGACAGTATCAACAATGTTGGGAGCCCTATAGGCACAAGCTTATACAAGTATCAGGAAATATTATAGGACTGAGTACAATCTTTTTTTTAGTCAGGGAGAAGAGCGTTTAGTACAACGAGATTTTCGGATTTTGGTACAAAAGTGCCTCACTACCGTGTGTGTGTGTGTGTGTCGCTTCACAGTAGGTGACGTTACATTCGTAGATATCAAAACCCTATATACACAACCCCCTATTCCTACCCCATGCCCTCCTTTCTCCTCCTCTCTTTCCCCAAACACAACCCATCAACCTTAAGCCGCCGGACTAGCAACACTCGTCGTAATCGGCCCACTCTCCACATACGTGCCACTGAAGTACCAATCCTCGGCGCCCGTGCCATCAAGTCCCGACCTGGGCAACCTCAGCACACCCAAATGCCAATCCGCACCGTTGGACGAGGTACCCGTTGAGAACGGGCCGGCGGTCTTGACAAGCGAGCTGTTACCGGTCGAGTGCCAGAAGGAGACTTGGTTGGAGGAGAAGTTAATCTCGTAAGCGACATTATGCCATTCATCGGCTTTGAGCTCGGTTTTCCATTTGCTCTGGCCGCTTACCATCCATTGCCTTTTTATGTGCGTATTAGCATACTCGTTTCTAGTCCAGCCTCGCTTTGACCCTGTTTTTTGGAGAATAGTTTTGAGAAGGGGAAAAGGGGGAGGGGGTGGGGAATGTACTTACAAGTTGGTGTTGCTGGTTCCAGACTCGCCGCTAATCCAGCCGTATTTCAGCTCGGTGAAATGGGACTCGAAGAAGGCGATTTGGTGCTCGTTTGTTGCGCTGGGGACGTTTGTGGTGGAGCGCTTGATGGAGAAGTGGTAGAATACTGTGCCTTGGTTGATGGGGGCTTTGGTTTGCGGGATGAGCTCGGTGCGCCACATGTCGCTGTTCCATTTTGCGGTATTGTCGATGGTGATTTTAGCGCCTTGCTTGCTGCCAGTATCGCCGGAGTTTTTGTAGTTGGGAGAGAGGTTGACTGGGGGTGGTTAGTTTGGGGTGTGTAGGAGGTGCGGGAGGGATATACCATAGCGCGAGGTTGGGCCAGAGCCGTGGATGTAGTATTGGTAGTCTGGGAGGAAGGTTAGGTATGGCGGTTGTCTGAATGCGTAGGTGGGCTTACTGCCGACTTGGTTTGCCCAGGACCATTTATCAAGATCGGCGCTCGAGGTCATGTCGTTGAAGCGTCCATCCCAGAGGATTGTGCCTGGTGAGTGTTAGTGATGTATGAGAACATCGAGGTGGTAACGAACCCGCAGAGACAGCGCTCACGAGCGCGTTGACAATGGTAGCTTTTCCCAACATCTTGATTGTAGAGACAGAGAGAGTCCAAGGAGTGAAGAGACGAGCGTATTCAACTCAAATCCGATGCTGCTACATATCGCCTTCACAGTGGTATATAAACTCCATTCCTGGCCCGAGAACACAGCCAAAGCTTCACATCCATGTTCATAGTCCTGCACTCTAATATCCCCTAAAGGACATCTGACTTTGCCCAGATTCGCACAACCACTTAATACGCGCTCGGTCATACTGCTACTCAATCTATCCGCCGCCCTGAAATGGCCCCGGGTGGACCTAGCGGCGGCCATACGGTCCGGGGGCACGTTGCCCTCCGTATAAGCCCGGGAACGGAGACGGCGGGCCTCATATTCTCGAACGCGACGATAGTGGCACGTGGATTCATTGCTAGTAATGTAGCGGTGGTCTAAGATGGGAAACATGTAGTCTCATTGGTAGGAGGGTGGTGATGTCGCAGGGTTGTCTAGATTAAGCTACATTAAGCCGATGTATACCCCACAATTAGCTACTTTGAGGCTGGGGCTGAATGCTTGCGTCAAATGGGCGTCCCAAGTGCTATGAATTTGAGGAGCTTGACTCTGAAATTGATCTGGGGAAGGCTGGGCAATATGCAGCCGCAGAGCATATTCTTGCATCATTGCGATGGTATATTGCTCTTTCGCACTCGGCAGCCAGGAAAGCCCTGCTTCGTCATTGGGAATGTCAAGTTGTAATACGGATCCTGACTTGCATTAGATGAAGTCACGATATACCAGCTTGCGCTTCTCCACCATCACTGGGTGTCCATCTCATTATGTGAAAGAACTAGCAATATCTGGAGTGGTAAATCTCACTGCAGGCTTGCTTTGTAAACGCCTCATGTAAGTACCTCCACAAAGGCACTGCTAAGGGAGCCATTGCTGAGACTGAACAAAGATTAAAATCAACAATGAGGCCGTAGCAAAACATATATGGATACTGCTTGTCCAAAAGCTGGTCGCGAGCTGTGAAACATGCCAACAGATTGACTCTCGCGACAAAACGCCCAGTTCAAAATAGCTCCAAACTACTAGCAGTATCCTGGTACACGGTGACATCGAGGCTTTGTCGCGTTTGACTTTGTTTTAAGGTTTTAAAGTTTTGAAGCGACGACACAAGAGACGAGAAAGCTCATGAAAATGCACGGACCAGGTCACCATCCTGTTGCCTTGGTGACATCACAAACAAGCGAAACAGACTTTCCTTGCTCCACCCACTGCTTACATACAGTACCAAAGTATCCGCCTGGACCGTCCCCTCCTACAGCTTTTCATACGGACACATCATCAGACGCCAAGACAAACAATTTTGCGTGTTCAGACTTCCCACATACTCTGACGACAAGATGGCGGATGCGCGCGGGGAGTACTGGTATTACGAAGATGGTGTGGATGCGAACAAGATCACGGTGCCCGAACTCCGCAGCATCCTCCTTCGCCACGGCGTCACTTATCCATCCTCGGCAAAGAAGCCTATTCTTGTAGGCCTCTTCAACGACATCGTCCTACCCCAAAAATCCCAAGTTCAGCGGGCGTATGCGCGGACGAAGCGATCAACGCGGGGCATCGTAGACGTACCTTCCAGCTCAGCCAGCACAGTGGATACAACCGATGTCGAAGACGAAACACTCGTGGCTCCCGCACCCGCGACTGGGCGGCGAACACTACGAAGAACCGGACGCGCAACGACAGAGGAGGCAGATGCGCCTGCACCACGTTCCAAAACACCTTCCCGCACTGTACCCGCAAAGCATAGCAGGGCTGCGGAGCCTGAGATAGACGAGCGGCCTGCAGCTAGACGCACGCGCAAGAGCGCTACACCTGCTCCACTCCCGCTTCCAAAAGAGCCATCGCCTGAACCAGAAGCATGGCACCGTAACGATGCGGCGAGCCCTTTTACCCAAGAAAACCCATTTCAAAGCGGAAGCTCTCCGGCGATACCAGACACTATCGCACGCGAGCGTCGAAGGCGGACCACAGGGTACAGCCAGCATGAGAGGCGCAAGAGTGATGTGCACCGCCGCCGAACAGTCCAACCCAAGACTGAACAAATAGACGATGGCATTATGGTACCCACACGCGGAACATTTGACGTTGCCGATCCCCGTACAAAGCACGAGGAGGAGGATACTGCAGACGCTGGGGAAGAGTTTACGCCCGAGGAGCAGCTCGAACTGGTGCGTGAGCGTGCAAAGGCCGGCGAGGTGGACATTCTCCCACCAAGAAAAAGACAGAAGAAAAATAAGGCTACTGGTACCATCAAAGCGATGGCAGGAACCATCCTCCTTACTGCTACAGCGGCTTTTGCTGGCGTTTGGCGACAAGAGAAGATCAATGTTGGCTTCTGCGGCATTGGGCGAGAGGCCACTGCACTTGCCGGCGTGGAGATACCGAGCTGGGCCGATCAAATCCTCCCGCAATGTGAGCCTTGCCCACCACATGCCCAGTGCTATCGAGGTTTGAACGTCCGATGTGATCCTGATTTCATCAAGAAGGACCATCCACTGTCACTTGGTGGCCTGGTGCCCCTCCCACCGACATGCGAGCCGGATAGCGAGAAGACTCGTAAAGTAAACGGTATTGCCAACAGGGCCGTGGAGGTCCTTCGACAACGCAAGGCGCAGTACGAATGTGGTGAGCCTGATGCAGAAGGACATCCCGTAGAAAGCCCCGAGGTCAGCGAAGTTGACCTCAAGGAGCAAATGGCTGCACAAAAAAGCAAGAGCTTAACGGATCAAGAGTTTAGCGATTTGTTCGACAGGGCTTTTCCTGAGCTTCTGATGCGTGAAGAGGTAGTTCAAACTACTGATGAGTAAGTACTCTTCTTTCAGGTCCCAAACCTTATGTGCATAATTTCTGACGTGGAATTGTACTAATCAGTTCCTCTTCCGTGGATATAGAACAACCGGCAAACGACGTCTTGCATCAACCTCTCTCGCAAAGCTCTCCCTCTCCTGTAGCGTCCGAAGATCCCTCCGACAGTCTTTTGAACGACATCTTCTCCAGATTATAATGTTCTTCCTGGTGATTGCTACAGGCTCCTACGGAAAATATTCGTATACCAGCAATCGAGCAATGGAAATCCGCGCAAAGCAGCTCGCCAGTGACGCTTATGACAGACTGCAAGACCAAGGTGCACTCAGCTATCAAGCGCCCGGTGTAGAAAAGGGCATTAGTATGACACAGCTTCGTGACGACGTCTTACGCACTGAGTTTAATGCGTCTCGGCGGCAGAAACTGTGGAAAAGAGTCCAGGCGAAAGTTGAGAAGAATAGCAACGTCCGTGCGGGTGTCCGCACAACAGCTAATGGTGACGTTGCTCGAATGTGGGAGTGGGTTGGCCCTGTGAGGCGACTCGAGGATGGTCGAAGTAGTGGTGCCCGAGACAGCGGGCGCTTCAGTCTTGGTATAGGCAGTAGCCCTCCATCTGCTTCAAAAGATGGGAAGGATGCGAAGGGTGTTCAGAAATGGGAAGAAGGCCGTCCTGTCTACTAGCATTCTACTTGTGGATTTCTCTTGTTCTTCAGAATGGCTTCATAAGTCGGTCATGACAATCAAGGGAAGATGGACGGAGAAATGTTTTCATTGGATTTGCTGCGTATGATACCACAACGATGAATTTTACTTTTTATTTGGTTTAACCTCATCCTTGCATGCCTGGATATTGAATACCACTGCGAATGCAAGTTGATCGTGACGCCCTGAGTTTTTGTATGTGGCTGATGCGTGGCGCATGAGTTTTGGCTTACTAACCTAGCCGAAGCCCACACACGCTAGTAATATCGGCCGCCCAGCATCAACATCTCCAGCACTACCGCCAACCTTTTCGCTCATACTAACCACAGAGCAAAAATCCGTCAAAATGGTGAGTGCAGTATTTGCTATTTGAGATTGCGCAATACGACAGCCATGACACGAGCGAGCGACATGACGAATCTTCGACGACGATGGCAAAATTGCGGATCAGCGAATATCACAACAACATCGAATACTAGAACTGGCCTCGGCATGCGGAATACATGTTTCATTGGAGGGGCGGAGAAAGCATCACTGTGCTGAAGGAAGTCATTGGAAAGAATTGGGCGCAGGCGGTGTGGGTTGGAGAGGCGACAAATCCCAGTCCAGAGCACTTATGGCGTCCACGTCGTGCTCTATCGCGGAACGATTACTACAAGCCAAAAATACCTTCATGTTGGGCGGCGCCGATATTATATCGCCTTTGACCCGCTTGCCCGCCCGCAGAGCCGCCTCCGCCGCACATTTACGATCCGTCAACCACGCATATAATACTCGCCTGCTCATGTCGCATGTTCAGCTGTCATTCAAGAAAGATAATATGCATACGGAAAGTCATAAGACAAATGCTGATTTCCGTCTTTCAGGTCAACGTTCCCAAGACCCGCCGAACCTACTGCAAGGGCAAGGACTGCAAGAAGCACACCCAGCACAAGGTCACCCGTTAGTGATCCATGCTCCCATACATTACCTTCACATGCTGAGACGTTGTAGAATACAAGGCAGGAAAGGCCTCTCTGTTCGCACAGGGTAAGCGTCGTTATGACCGCAAGCAATCCGGTTACGGAGGTCAGACCAAGCCCGTCTTCCACAAGGTACGATCGACTGTAATAGATTATGTGACATCGGCGCTGACAACACACAGAGGGCGAAAACCACCAAGAAGGTCGTTCTCCGTCTAGAGTGCACTGCTTGCAAGACCAAGGCACAGGTACGTTTCTCTATACACTCCATGCTCTATACCGCTACTAACCTGGAAATAGCTTGCCCTCAAGCGATGCAAGCACTTTGAGCTTGGTGGTGACAAGAAGACCAAGGGTGCTGCTCTTGTCTTCTAAGCGTGCGCCTTCTTTCTCTCTCTTTTGCTGGGCTCTCGGCGTAGTCTTCGGGCGGATGGAATGGACGGCTCTACCTTCGACTCAAGCAATGCATCAACCATCAGTATAACACGAATGAAGGCGTGTGAGGCGGAAGATTTGGCGACACAGGGTCACCAGCCACGAATTTACGGACTGTAACCTACATATGCATCAAATGGAGCTCGATTGAAGGGACCGCAAAACATTGTGCATCAATTCATTGACATGACTAACATGTGTGTCGCGTGTAATAGCCTAATCAAGCAGGTACAGTAGACCGTGGTTGAGATGTTTGGGAGTCACATTCCTACTATGCCACTGCCCCTCCGAACCCACTAGCGTGACGCACCTATCTCGCCGACGGCATGTAAACCCGGCTGATAGAACAATGTTTCATAACGGCGAAGAAACTCTCCATTCTGCATTCTACAATGGCTGATTCCAAGAAGACGGTCCTCATTATTGGCGGTGGTGCTGTCGGCACTATTGCCGCTGTAAATCTGGAAGTCGGCGGTCTTGCAACAGTTACCGTCGTGCTACGATCCAACTACAACGTCGTCAAGGAAAAGGGCTTTACAATCGATAGCTGCGATCATGGAACACTGAACGGTTGGCGGCCCAGCATTGGTATGCAGCGATTCACATCTCCCACTGCAGCACTTGTGTCGAGGCTAACAATAGCGAGTTCGCAACACCGTTCCCAACCTTGTCGAAGAGAACATCCCACCATATGACTATGTTGTACTCTGCACCAAGAATGTGCCCGATACTTCACCTACAGCGGTTGAGCTTGTCACACCAGCACTTCCCAAGAATAGCGGCAAGACGACGCTTCTTCTCCTTCAAAACGGTCTCAATATCGAGAAGCCTTTTCTCCGCCCTCATCCCAATGTTCCAATTCTTTCTGGAATTTCTATGATTGGTAGCGCGGAGCCTTCACCAGGGGTTATTGTGCACAACGAACCCGATAGACTGCTTGTTGGAGCCTTTCCCACTTCGAACATCAATCCCGCTGTTCCAGAGCGAAGGGCGGAAGAATTTGTCGAGTTGTACAGCAAAGGAGGAAAGACGGACTGCCAATACTCGCCCAATGTCCTATATGATCGCTGGAAGAAGCTTGTCTTCAACGCAGCCTTGAATCCAATCTGCGCTATTACGGGTCTAGATGACGGGCGCATACGCCTTGCTGACGGTGCCTTGGATGGTCTCGTCAGACCAGCCATGCGAGAAATCGTCACAGCTGCTAAAGCGGTATGCGGAGTGGAGTTACCTAAGGAGGTGGTGGAAGCTACAATCAACATGGACCCGCTAGAAAGCTATTTGAAGCCGAGCATGCAGCAGGATCTAGAAAAAGTACGTTTTTAGAGCGGTCAAGCTTATCATGTGTAAGCACAACAGGTAATGCTGACATTGATAGGGCAACTTTATTGAGTTCGAGAACATATTAGGCGAGCCGCTTAAGGCGGGGAAGAATGCAGGTGTTCCTATGCCCACTCTTGAGGTGCTGTATCATATCGCAAAAGCAATACAGTGGCGAACAAAGGAGAGCAAGGGACTGGTCGAGGTACCGAAGAAAGCTTGAAGTGATGGTGTTCTCAGGGTTCATTCATCCTTATGTTGGCAAGACCCGCTGTGAGGAAGAGCAATCTGTGGCGTCACAGGTGCGATGTTTGCACTAATTCACATCATATAGATTATAAGATCGTGAAGGCTACTATATCTTTTACATGTACCCCACAGAGTGAAGTGTAGTGTAGTGCGTACGTCATGGAAGCAACAAGGTTTTCAGTAGTCGTAGGGTACCTGCGACGTTACCCTCCTGTACCAGCTTTCTACACAACCTTTTGAGCTATTATTCAGGGCCTCTTGCATGGAGCTACTCGCACCCTGTGGCCCACATGTAGCTGGCCTGTGCGGGTTGGGTACACCGATTCTAATGCAAACACAAGCGACACGGCAGACAATACGGTCTGTTTGCTCAACCTGGGTCAACATCCGCCCGCTATGCATGTGTTCATTCGGCCGGAGGGAGCGAGATGCGATGGAAGCGTGACTATCCGAGTCATCGCCGGGCAACAGTGATTGGACAGGCGTGGATTCGTGTTCCGTCGTGACAGGGGAGAGTTCAGATGGCAAAGCGGGTCACCGCGTTGCCGCTGCAAGGGCAAAGCATCTCTGGATGCAAAACCGGTAGAGGCGGAAGATCTTGGGCTCTGGCAGCAGCGCGAGGCCAGGATGTGCCAGGTTTCGAGGTGGCGGTGCAGTTCGGTTGGAGCTATGCTTGGCGAATGACGAATGACGGTGCTGGTCCACCCCAACTGGCTGCTGTCCCAGGGCGAAGAAAGCTCAAGAATCTCTTAACTAAAATCCACGTGAACCCTACATACTCACTGTCTCTCCTGTGACTAGTTCCTACGTCGCCTGCTCTCGCTGGTCGCAGCCACATTACACCTACCCTCACCGTCTTTGAGCGCCTTCAGCGCGCGCGCCTAGGCTTGGACTCTGCTCAGCCTCCGTATCACACAATCAGCTCCGCCAGTTGGCCCACTGCGCTGCCTGATATAACGCCAACACCCAACCCGGCAGATCCGACTATCAACCAGCCTTATTTTCAGCCTCCACCTATAGGAGAGCTGCACTCGTCTTCTCCAGGCAACCACTTTGCTGGTGCCAGTCACTCTATGCTTTTGCCAACTGCTTCGGCTACCGTGCCCGACATGGCAAGCAATGGGATTCGCAGAAAGGATACGACAAAGGGACCGCCGTTGCGCATCCTGTCCCTAGGTACGTGGTCGAAGCGCGTCTTCAGTATGGGGCGGGGTTGCTAACATATCTGACAGATGGTGGAGGCGTGCGGGGGTACTCCATGCTCATTATCCTGCAGGAATTGATGCATCGAACATTTGTCGAAATACATGGTCGGGCACCCAAAAGACACGAAGTACCAAAGCCATGCGAACATTTCGACCTTATCGTAGGGACAGGCACCGGCGGTCTGATTGCTATAATGCTTGGGCGGCTAAGGATGGACGTGGAGACGTGCAAAGACGTCTACGTGCGCATGACGAGAAGAGTTTTTGAAACGGACAAGACATTTGCGGGCATACCTTACCGGTCAACATTGTTCAAGGCCTCGAAGCTGGAGGAAGCCATCATGCAGTGTGTGCGCGAGCACACCATCTACGATGACGAAGGCAACGACAGTCACGAAGGGCGGGAGTCGCTGCCTATGACACCAGGGAGCGCCACGTCAGGCCGTATGCACAGGAGTGCTAGTAACGCCAGCAACTACAGCCAGATTGGCATGTCGCCCGTCAACATGCGCATCGCTGCCATGAAGTGGGGGAACCCACACGCTTTGCTCTACGACAATCGCGAAGAGCGCACCAAGACGTAAGTGCACTTTCTGTTCTTTTGCGAAAATCAAGTTGACTAACAACCTGCAGTGCTGTCACGGCCGTCTACAAAGGTACCAGAAAGTCCAGTGGGGGCCAGATACTTCTTCGCTCCTACGACTCGCGCAAGGAGCCTGCTATCGAACCCAACGCGACGATATGGCAAGCCGGTCGAGCAACTTCTGCGACTGCTTTGGCTTTCAAGCCCATCCAGATTGGTCAATCAGTCTTTCTTGATGAAGGCTCTGGCAAATATAACCCAGCACCTATGGCTTTGGACGAAGCCGTTTGCAACGAATGGCCTGGGCGTGAAGTTGGTGTCTTCGTCAGCATTGGTACTGGAAAACGACCGGAGGGTACGAATGCGCAGCAACACTTGTGGTGGGAAGGCTTTGTTTCTGGTGGCATGGGAGACTTTGCCGAGGCTAGGCGGAGACTGATATCCAAGATCGAAGGATGTGAGAAGACACACAAAGAGATGAAGGACCACCTCGCAAAACGACATGTTAACCAGGAGAACTACTACCGCCTGAACGTAAACGTTGGCGTAGGCGAGTTTGGCATGAACGAATGGAACGCCTTGGCCGATATCAGCACGAACACGCGCATGTACCTGGCGGACCAGACTGTACAAGGTATGACGTTGGACGCAGCCGCAAAGATTGCACGTATCCACTTCGCCAAAATACGATGGGAGCGCGCGGCCAAAGGAGAATCACCATTCTCGCCTGGTGCACAAGCACCGAACAAGCCTCTTCCCAGTGTCCCAGATCCAGCGCCCATGGCCGTCGAACTCCCTGCCGAGGAACTCTCACCCGAGTATTACACAAACATTCACCCAGCCTTCCGGCCTCCACCAGCAGACCAGCGTCGGCCATCAGAAAACGACAAGTACCTGGTGGTAAATTCTGATGAGCACCCACCATCGCCAGTCTCCGAAAATTACCATGACCTGATACATCGACATTCTGGCGAGCTTGTTGCTCCTGGCCGCCGCTCACATGAGCAATTCTCAGCTGGGCGCCCGATATCAATGGTCAGCTCGGCAACTAGCTGGGATGATCGTATGTCAAACGCACCACCTAGACCTCCCAAGACACCTCTGCAAGACGGAAGACCTCCTCCACCTCTTTCAGGTGTGTTGCCCATGTCGCCCATGTCGCCACCTCCCGGTTCGTCATTCTCGAGACCGCCACCTGGTGCACCTTTACCATATCCGGATACGGATGGACCGCCTCCAATCGTCAACAAAGCGACAAAGCCGGATTATACGCGGTAGATGGAAAGTTGTCTTGTCTTTTTGGAATATGTCTGGACGTTGGAAACGACACCCGTGTTGTCACACTTGGCCATGGAGGAAATTCATGATGATGACGGTTCATAACTGGAATATGGGGATTTTTCCAGGATGAAGTATGAGAGAATAGTTTTTGATACCCAGTCGAGTTTATTTTCCTATTTTTTTTAGCTTCTGTCTGTCAATGATTGTATGAGAGATTGGATTTTATTACGATTTTCATGTTGAATCTTTATGAACGAGAATTTTCTTCATTATCCCGTGATGCTGTGAAGTGCCGCTCATAATATTCTTGTGACTATCTGATTGACTTTGCGGTACTGAAACTCTGTATGCCCCTTACATAGACTCTGATTGATAGATAAGTTTAATATCTATGGACAAAAACCTCACGTGGGGTATAGGGACGGGTAGTGCATAGGACTTAAGTGCCTAGTACTGCCTATTCATGGGGTATCTCTAAGGTAAGGGTCGTGTAGGTGCTCCTCCGCCAATTAAGAAGCCTTGCTACTCTATTGCGTGCCTACACACCTGCCATCCATATATACACTCTAATAGCTAGTAGCTAATGCAGAGTAACTGATCCTCAGCACTATCTCAGACGATATCCTTAATCTCCTCCATCTCCTCACCAGCCTGACGTGGCGCACATGCATCGACACTCACCTTCACTGCATGACTCCACCACTAGCGTCCTCACTCGCTTCACACGAGACATGCTCTCTCTCACTTATACATGTAGACTCAAAGTCTCTTAAACTTCTTCTTTTCTTCTCCAACCCCACAACCTCAACAATCTATCCACACCAAACCCCAACACAACAGCTACAGTCAACCCAAAATGTCCTCCAACGACTCAACTGCAAAAGGCTGGACCGACCGCCAACGTGTACGCCCTTCCCCCACCCCAATAAAACCCACAATCAGACTAACCAATGCAGCTCGCCTACTACTTCTCGCTAGTCGAGTATTCAAACGTAAAACTAGACTTTACCGTTCGTCCTCCCCACTCCCATTGTCCAAACCCGTACTTACACACCGACCCAGAACGCGCCTCGTCCCGAGGGCAAATCCGTAGGCGCATGCCGCATCATGGTCGACCGACTCAAGGGCACGCTGAAAGACGAGTTGGCTGCGTTGCGCGGTGCTGACGCTGACGCTGGTGGTACCACGCCTAAGAAGGCGGTTACAACTGCGAGGAAGCGGAAGGCGGAGGATGGCACGCCGGTGAAGCAGGGAAGGAAGAAGAAGGTTGAGGATGTTGAGGAAGAAGAGGAGAAGGTGGTGGGCGACAAGAATGAAGTCAAAGAGGAGGATATTGATGGTGTCGTCTAAGATGGTACTGGGTAGGAGGTTTCAGCACTTTGCGTTTGCTACTACCAGCTCATCATTCAGTGTGGTGGCTTGGCACAGTAGGTAATGCACCTGGCAGGTTGAGGGCGGACGCCAACTATCAATAGTTAGTAGTTCGAATTCAACAGCCATTAAGGTACAACCCATGTACATTCCTCTTACATTTCTCCCTCCCCCACCCTTCTATAGAGAGTAGGTAGCTTTCTACCCCCTGTCTGTAAGACCATGAGAGGAGTCTATACTTATAAGGAGGAAAAGAGAGAGGTGTATAATAAAGAAAATGTAGTTAGGACGTGCGTATGCGCGTAACAGGGCAGCAAGGCTTCTTAATCGGCGAAGAAGCATCTATAAGATCCTCGCCTTAGAGGTATGCCCCCCTATGAATAGGCAGCACTAGGCGAGCATATAAGCCTTTTTCATTATTCTTAATCTTCTTCTTTCTCTCCTAATTTACTAGCGTATTATTCTATATTTCAGGTTAGATGTAGTTGTTGCTATATGATAGGAAACGTTCTTATAGAGTAGAGTGTGAGTAGTTGGTAACTAGATAGAATATGTATGTAGGTGTAGTGATAGTCCCAAAGTTGATTTTAGGCGAACTATCGATGAAAGTAAGATTCAATTAGAATTCTACGTGAGGGACGGAAGTATGAGGCTGAAATTTTCGTTCTGTAGGGTGCTAGTGGTGCCTAGTCCGTTGCTCTAGTTACATGGTGAGAGTGAGGTCCGTTTGTCAACAATTTTGAACAGTGGGTCTTCACCTAGACACACACACTCTCTCTCACCTACATACAAATTCAATGTCTATTAAACCTCTTCTTCTTTCTCCAACCCCACAATCTTCACATCCACAAGCTTAACCAACGATCCACCATCTACACCATGGACGACGCCAATAATCCCAAGGGATGGACCGATCGTGAGATCGTAAGCGCAAACACCTTGACAAAGAGCAACGCTAACACCCCAATCAGCTCTCCAGTCTCTTGTACCTCATCCAAAAGGACAACATCACTCTTGATTGGGATGTACGTACCCAAGCCCACAAAGAAACACAGCACGCACAGAAAGCCCAAGCTAACGCATCACAGGGAGGTCTCTACGCTGCTGGCCGTACTGCCAGTGGCTTCAAGCAGAAGACCAACAAGCTCATCAGGGCATTCAGGCCAGAGTGGGATGCTATGGCATCTGGTGCACCCGTCCCTCAGGCCACTCCCAAGAAGGCATCTGCTACTACTCCTCGCAAGCGCAAGTCCAAGACCGATCAGGAGGACGGTGAGGATGCCCCTCCAAGTGTCAAGAAGCCGCGTGGTAGGCCGAGCAAGAAGGTTGCTACGCCCAAGAGTGAGGATGACGAAGCGGACTTGGACGTCAAGGCCGAGCCAAAGGAGGAGGAGGATGAGGATAAGGAGATCGATGCGGAGGTTTGAAGCGTTCGGCTATCGCGCAAGGCAATTAAGCGTTTCGTGCAGAGTAGTAGTCGCTGACTCTCAATGTGAGAAGAGGGCACGTAGGTTCCACCTTTGATCATTCAAATGCGCAATGCTCATAAAGCTACTCACTTATGCGCTCGTAAGAATCATTAGTAAAAGCTATCAACTACTACTCACACTCCACTCTATAAAAACGTTTCCCTATTATAAAACCCTAATATAGCAACAACAACAACAACAACAACTACTACTACTACTACTACTACTACTACATCCAACCCTAAAAATAATAGCATGGCACGCTAGTGAAGCAGGAGACGAAGAAGGTTAAGGAATGTTAAAGAGGAGAAGGTAATGTCTGACAAGGACAAAATCAAGGTAGTAAAGATTGAGAATATCGTCTAGTACTAAGATGGTGCTAGTATGTCGGAATATCTAAGTCACTGCGTTTGCTCCCCAGCTTATTGTTTAGAGTCCCATCCTCCCTCCCCTTCCATCCCGCAGAACCACCATAAAACCCCTCCCCAAATAGGAAAAGTCTCCTTTTCTGCAACACGGCGGTGGGGGGGGGGGGAGGGGAGGCAAAAAAAAAGGCACCAGTGCGCCCTTTTTTTTTCACCTCCCGTGTTCAAACCACCCACCCCGGTCCCATCCCGCAGATACACCGGTAAAGGCCAGACCAAGCCGCAAGTAAGCGGTGGGACTTGGGTCCGGGGTGTGTGTGTGTGTGTGTGTGTGTGTTTGCGCGGGCCTTCCCGTTAGTGGTTACGCGGGTGGGAAGTAAGTAGTGGGATGTGGCTTGCTGCCGTGTTATGGGCATGGGTGAGATTATGGGTTTTTGGGTTAGTTGGAGAACTGGGGGGAGAGCTAGTAGATCGGCATTCCAGAACACTGGGAAGAATAGAAATGCACCTGGGGTTGAGGAGTATTTGGGGCAAATATAGAGGACATGGTGCATGTATGGCTCTCTGCTCGAGATGGGGGACGGCAATCTCAGTAGAATTCCCATCCAACGACAGTGAATCACATAAGTCGCACCTCACATTCAAAGGATACTTTATAAACTCTAAACTTATTGCATTCTTGCCCTTTTTTGGTGTGCCCGGCTACACCGAGTAGAGAAATATCTACATGTACTACGTGTCCTGTGAGAGATAGGAAGCCATGAAATAGTAGGGTATCGAAACCATTCTAGTCCCTCGCCTAAGAAAAAGGAGGAAAACTTAGTGTCCCAATCTCCTTAGTGCCCAAATACTGTGACGACCGAAACAAGGAAAAAAAGAAGACATATTCAGCGATTAAAAATGTTGGCGCCAGAAATGTGTTGAAAGAAGACGAGGAAGACTACAAGTGAGCAATGCCGTTGGTGACCTCAGACACGCCAACGTGGGTGCCGTTGAGCTTCTCGTTTGAGACGAGTTGTGATAGCTTGCGGTCAAAGTATTGGTTCTCAGTGTGTGGGTCGTACATGCTCTTCTTGATGTAGTCGTCGAGCTGCTCGTCGCTCATATCGCGTAGCTCAACAGTACGGTCAACACCGTTCTTTTGAGCAGCGCGGATAACACCACGGGTGACAACGACAGAGACTTCACGGATACGGCGAATGTCAGGGTACAACCAGCCATCGGCAACCTCTTGCCTGTTCAAGGAGGTAGAGAGGTACTCGGCGGAAGCGTAGATCATGTCTTGTGTGATAGAAACAGCCTTGGAAAGAATGGCGCCAAGTCCGATACCTGGGAACACATACATGTTGTTTCCCTGGCCCGGGGTGAGCAGCTTGCCATTGTACTCCATTGCTGGGAAAGGAGAGCCAGATGCGAAGAGACAGCGGCCCTCAGTGGCAAGGACGGCCTCCTCGAATGTGCACTCAGACTTGCTGGAAGGGTTGGAGAGGGGGAAGATGATGGGGTGGTTGTTTAGCGAAGCCATCTTCTCGAGAATGTCCTTGTTGAATGCACCGCCAATGGTTGACAGACCCATGAGGATGGTGGGCTGTACGTAGTCAATGAGGCGGCTAAGCGACTGGTATTGGCGGCCGTTGTTGTCGTCACGGGCGAAGTAGACCTTGTGGTCAGCGAGCTTGTCGCCACGGTCAAGGGTGACAAGTCCGTTTGAGTCGACGAACCAGAACTTGCGGCGAGCCTCCTCTTCTGTCAGACCCTCCTTGATGAAGTACTCAACAATCTGCTTGGCGACACCGACACCAGCACTTCCGGCGCCCAAGAAAATAGCCTTGTGGTCCTTTGCTGGGACACCAGAGGCCCTGACGGCATTGATGAAGCCACCAACAATGACGGCACCAGTACCCTGGACGTCATCGTTGAACATGGAGTATTGGTTCTGGTAGCGTTCTAGGGCGGGGAAGGGGTTCTTGAAATCCTCGAATTGAATAACAATGCTGGGGTACTGTTAGTATTTTGGCAGATGAGTCAGAAAAAGGACTACTACGTACCTGGGCCATCGGTCGGTAAGGGCGACCATGAGCTCGTCGAGGAATTCCTTTTCTTGCTCGGGGGTAACCTTGGGCATCCTGGAACCCATGTATAGAGGGTCCTCACGGAGGGCCTTGTTGTTGGTTCCCAAATCGAGAGTGAGGGGAAGAGTGCTGTCGGGCTTGATACCAGCGCAAGCCGTGTAGAGAGCAAGTTTGCCGACGGGAATGCCCATGCCGTTGACACCAAGGTCACCAAGACCGAGGATACGGGAACCATCAGTGAGGACAGTGATGTCGACCTCGTGTGGCCAGTTGTCGAGGATCTTGCGGAGGTTGCCGCGGTCGCTCCATGAGAGGTACATGCCCTCGGGTTGGGTCCAGATCTCGTGCCATCGTAAGCAGGCCTCGCCGACGGTCGGGGTGTAGATGAGAGGAGTCAATTCCTGGGTATGTGTCAGTTGTGACTCTGCACAGATTGTAGGTGGCATTTGCTCACCTTGATGTTCTCGCCGAGAAGTCTGTAGAAGAGGTGGACGTTGGTGGCTCGGAGGTGGACGAGGTACTGGAATTTCTCGAGGGGAGTGGGCTTCATGGCAAGGAGGCGAAGGCCTGTGGGAGAGTTAGCAATTGCAGTCTAGAGGGTATGATAGTGCAACTCACATCGGTCGGTCTGGACATCGTAGCTCTCGACGGCTGGAGGGGTGAGGCCGTAGGTGCCGAGACTGCGGCGGACGTCTGGGGTGTATGACATGTCATAGTCGCCCGAAGTTGTGGTCAACTTGCGGGCGTAGCTGGGGCGAGTGGCAGAAGGCATATTGTGAGTGGCAACTGTAGCCATGTATCGAAGGGAGGGTTTAGGGATTGAAGAGCGGAAGGCTTGAGCAGGAGCCGTCAGTTTTATAAGCGACCTGAATCGGTGCATTGAGATGGGATGAAACTTCCGTCGGCAATTGAAAAAAGATGTCAGGGAAATAGGCCGCCTGGGGCGTGCGGAGGATTGGGGCTACATAACGAATAGCCTATCGGGAGGGGTCTGGGGTCCGCAAGAGACACTGTGAGGAGATCCGTTCTCGCCGTCAAGGTGTGTGTGTAGGGGAAGCATAGACCAACCCGTTGCGTTGGTCAGCCTGTAACCATCACGCCAGTCGTATTCTCCCCATCCCCAACCCTACCCACCCTTGCTCCCGCCATGCTGAGCGCCGGCATCTTGCCCGTCTAACGGCCATACGCGCAGACGGACCAGACGGCTTGCAACGCATCTTGTCACGAAGGCTGTCGACGACAAGTCTATCCTCTTGCCTGCATCCCGACTACCTGAAACCGCCGACACAGACAGGCACGCCCATAATTTTTTCGACGTGCCACAGCCACAGCGGCCGGGTAGCAGGGATCATGGGGCAGACGTGCATATTGTCGGGAGCATTCGGAACGGACGCGTCTGGCTGGCCTTGCAGCGAACGCCGCATTCTCCACCGATGGGCTCCAATCTCATTCCATGGAGCCCATTTGCTTCTGTCGGCCATATCGACTTGACAGCGTCGCAATTACCCATCCGTCATCAACGCCGTCTGGTCCTCTCGACCATTGTACTCTACTATACTTCCGTCCCCTCGGGCTCCGTCTGCTTCAGCTCTCGTATCGAGCCACACCACAGTCAGGCATCGAGGCATTTTTTTTATCAACTTGTCGGTGTCCATGCGTGGTCTTGATCCGCAACGCGCTGTCTATTATTAATCGGCTTCGTCTTACGGGATTTGTCTCACGCCTCTTCGCCACGCACCAACAACCCGAAACAGTCTTGACGTTGCCCATCCTAATAGTGCGGCTTCCGGACTTTAGCCATGCTACCACACCGTATCTACTCTTATGAATCCTCTGGCGGATCCGCATTCGGCTCCATCCATCTATACACCGATCCGACGGCTTGCTAGTCGCCCAAGGCGGTGTGCTTTTTCCCAGTGCCAGTACCACGACCCGCGGACGCAATTTTTTTAACGCTCAATTCACATTGCCCCTGTCCCCTTGATCTTTCCCCAATTTAGGCGGACGGGTGGTGTCAGGGGAAGCCGGCGCGATCACAATCTGCACTCCAAATCTGTAACAAAAATAACGCAACCAAAAAATAAGGCAGCTGCTGAATGGCGCCCCAAGTCCGACCCGGCCCACGCCCTTCAGACCGTCTAGGCAGATGTCATGTCTCAATTGCGGTGGCCGCTCATCTCTTGTGCGCGAACCTACTAAAAAGACGCTGTCTCGGACAAACATTCGACAGCTGCATATGCGGCCAGGGTGGATCGTCCGCAGTTGTGGGGAAAGCTTGATGGCCTCCTTGGGTAAAGTAGGTAAAGTTAGCCGCCCCGGGCACGTGTCCAGTTCGTTCTCTTCCGAGAAATGGGGCACACGACTCCACAACTTGACAGCGCCACGGGAGGTTACGGAGTTCCTTGGTGAGCGGCTTCGCAAAATCATGCCAGCGCTACATGCTGCTTGCGAATCAAACCCAGAGTCCTCTCACACGGTCCTTGGCCTCTTGTCTAATGCCTTGGGCGTGCAGCAGAACTGTAACCGTCATGCAACTGTCAAGTCTCACCGTCTCTTGACAACCCCGGCAAGCGAGTCAGGCCTAATCCGATCTAGAATGCCCGAGCCTTACCTGACGCTTGGCTACAAGAATGCAGTAGGGGTTCTTTCAGGGCCCTTCTTCTTCTTCTTCAGTGGGCCGCTTCCCCGACGAGAATGCAAAGTTGCTCCAGCGGTCTGAACACCGCGTCCATGCCTGAGAAAAACCCTTCCCTTTGGTACAATCCCACCTACAGATTGAGTAATGCACGATGCGCTGGAACGTCTAGAATTCCCCGATGGAAAAGCATCCAGCGGGCCCATGCTCTCTCTCGGCGGGCCTATCGCCATTGCGTGCTAGTAGCATGCGACAGTGGTGCGGGGAAGTCGCCTGTGCTGTGGCTGTGGTGGCTGTGATGAGTTGCGAGGTCTGGATTTCTTCCAAGTGCAAGCTCGACCACTAGCTACTTTGACCAAACCCTGCTTTCAGCTGTAGCTTTGATGTACCGCCCTTGTGCTCGTCATAGATGCTCAACAAATAATCTTGCCTTGATCTTGATCGTGTCTGCACTCGAAGCCTCGATTCTACATGTGCACATATTGTATGCAGTTGAATGCTGTGACAATACTGCGTCGACTCACTAGATGCCTTCGAGAACTGTTCCATGCGACTTCCGAGATGAGCGATGTGCAGCAAGGTACTGATGTGCTTATACATACAGGTATATCAACATATACATGCGCACGAGACCTGGCATATAGTATGTATGTTGATATGCACTTACACTCCGCAAGACCAGGAATGGGAGCGGCAGCCTTGGCGCATGTGGAGCCGCGGGATCGACGAACGGCATGACGTCGCTAGCTCCCTCTCGTCATCCTGACCTACGCGTGTTGATCGAGGCTTAAAAGAGCTGTTCACAACGATTCCACCCCAGCTGCATTTCTCCTAGACAAACTCCAGCTGCAATTCATCGCCATGGCACTTTCATCGTGCTTCGGAAGACGCAAACGCGACGAGGACCAGCGCCCGCTGTTGCCTCAGGTATGTATACACACGTCTCGTCGATTCATATTGTACGCGCTAATCTCACATGTCAGTACCGCGATGACACTGCACTGCAGAGAGAGGTGCACCAGAAGCTGCACTCGTATCAGATGATACGTGCACTTTCCATGGGGTTCATGCCATCTAACGAACAACTCATCATCAACCTCCGGAGCTTGCTATCTGCAGACATCCTGAACCCAGAAAACCCCGATCTGAGCGACTCTGGTCGTCTCCTGGTCAAGTTTACCAAACAATGGCTGCACCAATTCATTGATACCCTGAACCACAAGAACAGCAAGGACCAAATCCAAGACTTTCTCTGGTACCTTTCCAAGTCCAGGGTATCTGTAGATGTGGAAGATATTGCACGAAGGGCGACCAGGTCAAAAGCAAAGGCCGATGCTACTGCAGGTCAGTACGTGTCTTTTGTTTCACAGAATAGAGCTAATATACCAGCAGCCTACCACAGTCTGCAGACTGTTGGGTCCTTGCTCCTAACTAATTCCGACTTTCGCATCTTCCTCGCTGACCTGAACACTGTCGGCCGGGAAGTGTTCAGAGACACTGCTTTCACACTGTCAAACGTATCCAAGAAGGCAGCCAAGAAGATCGAGCCTTCACCAAAAGAACAAAAGGCACTCAAGGAGCCCGGTGCGGATGAGGCTCTCGCACACTCCACTGAAGAGATCAATGACCAGCTTGCCGAGGTCGCCCAAGTTGTTGGCAATGGGGTTGCCAAGGTTGCTAAGAGGGCAGACGTAAGTTTGGCCGAGAAGCTTCAGGGTGACGAGGGCGAATCACTCTTGTACCGCCTGAAGAAGACAATCACAAACCTGAGGCAAAAGAGGGATTACAACGACTCCGTTTCGGTGCTCGCAACACTACTGAAGCGGTACGCGATGGCATACTCCCGGACCGTAGAAGATGCTATGGGTGCTCTCGAAGCTGACGTCGAGCCAAACCGAGAGATGGAGAGGGCTGTCAAGAACTTTTGGACCTTCCTGAGCTCCTTTGGTGACAAACAAGAGTGGAACAAGCTCGAGAATGCATTCCATAAAGTCTTGGAGCACTCGCGCAAAGATCCCGAATTCGAGGATCTGCTCATCGACATTGGAAATTCGCTGCAGAAGCTTCTCACGGACCCCGACTTCTTTGACCACGTCGACGAAAAGTTCCAAGAGCTTCGAAAGAAGGCCAATGGTGTTGGATTGGAATCATCGCTGCGTCAGGATGTAGATGCGTTTTTCGTACAAGCCCAGAGCACCTTCATGGCTGTCACCCAGGACCAGGACATTGCGAAGATGATCAACACGACCATGAAGATCTGGAACATACTGTCGCCCCTACACAGCAACATCAACGGCGAGCTCGTTCAAGACGCAATCAACGTTTTCGTCCCTCTTGCCATCCAGGCTATTCAGTACATCCCCATCCCTCGTCTGGAAGTATCCACACCCGAGATCGATATGCTCCTGGAAAACTTGATTATCGAACCTGGTAAGACCGTGAACCACACATCATTCCTCCCGTTCCGCTTCCGAGTGGAGACCTACAATGATTTTGAACTTCGCAAGGCCCGATTCCGTGTTGCCTCCAAGGCTACGTCCAAGTTTACCATCAAGATTGACGGTCTTTCGTTCCGTGCAGATGAAGTTGGTTTCCTTCTCCGCGCACACTCTGGCCTCCTTCGCCTTGCCGATGAAGGTATTGCTTCGTTCCAACTCGACGAGCGCGGTATCGATATTCATTTGGATGTCGAAGTCGGCAAGGAGAAGTTGGAGCAGATTCTTACACTCAAGGCTGTCCGTGTCCACATCCACAAGCTTTCTTACACGCTGCGCAAGTCCAAGTTCAGTCTCTTTGGCTGGCTTCTCAAGCCCCTGCTGCGCCCTGTTGTCCGCAAGGTCATGGAGAGGCAGATGGCCCAAGGTATCGCTGATGCAATTCACGCCGCCAACCGTGAGCTCATCTTTGCACGCGAGAGGCTTCGAGCGACAAGGATCTCTGATCCAGATGACCTGAAGACGTTTGTCAAGGCTGTCATCACACGTCTCACACCGGCTGATGACCCCGACCTTTACACGAGGGTTGGTGTTGACGCACCGAAGAAGGGTGTCTTCGCTGGCAAGTATGCACCAGGCAGCGTGGCCAAGCTGTGGGAGGAAGAGGGTCGTCGCGCACCAGAGCGCATTGACGACTGGGACGAAGGCGGTTGGAGGAACGATGTCTTCGACCTCCATGCCATGGCACTTTCCTAACTACTTTCTATTCTAGCAGACGACTGATTTGCACTTTCGACAAAACGGCTATTCTGGTATGGATCAAGTCTGAAATCATGGGTTTATGGCGTGTTCTTTTCTAATTCAAATGGTTTTCGTTCCAGCAAGCGGGCTATGGAAACATGATTATGGGGTTTCTTCAGGAGATGGGTTTACGGGGTAATGGTTTACGCATCATCATGATGGTTACGAGTACATATTTATTCTAATTAAAATGCAATCTGGTCATTGTAATAATTGTATCGTTCAACTCATGTCTGGTCATGTGCAGACATATCAAGATGGCATCAAGAGGTTTGCTGTGTGAATTCGCGCGAACAAGTCCTTTTTTCATATTCTTAGTCTACGGTATAGAGAACCCCAACTATCATACAATATGTACCATGCTCGAACCGCAAGCTCTGGTGCTTCATCGAGTGGTTTTTTTTCAAACAACAGCAACAACCATGTACTCACAAAAAGCGTAAACAAAAGCCCAATCACCATTTTGTTGGGGGGGTAATATCCCCAAGATTGTACACGGTCCCCAATCGCTCAAGCAGAACGAGGCTTAAAACGGAGGCAGCCAAAAGGGGTACGAAGGGTTCTTGACACGGAAGACGCTCATGAGGAAGCTGTACATGCCAAACAAGACACCGGTCCACAAAAAGACGGCCAGGGACTGTGCGCGTGCATCCTGGATCCTGGGGACCTTGACAGCCAGTGAAATAGCGGCAAAAGCAAGGACACCGTAAATGGCAGCAACAATCTGCGACTCAAGACCATACTGGTTGCTGAAGCCACCTGCGAAGTAGTTGATGCCACCTTTGTTGTCGCCAACGACGTAGGGCGTCTTGCGGATGTGATTGAACATGTGGCCACTGGTGAAGAGCAGCACGGCAATCAGACTGACGGCAGCCCAGACATTGCGGTTTTGGAGCAAGGGGATGACGTAGGGCGAGGCAACGAAGATGGCGGTGATACCACCGAGGACGGAGGTGGTTATGGTGATGACCTTGACCCAGTTGATGGGGCGGGCTACGGAGGGTTTGGGAAGGCCATCGGGGACTTGGCGGGCGACCCAGGCCTGGATTTGTTCGGCGGTTTGAGGACCGCCGGTGAAGTCGAAGCGGGCGGGTTGCGAGTCGACCTTTGCGTGGGGGCCGGCGGTGGGGTGGAAGTAGAGGAGGACGGGAGCGGTTTGGAGTTGCATCTATGCTTACTATTAGCCTCTACACAGAAAGAGTATGGTGTTGCATTCAGCAGGGTTTGCTCATACCGATTGAAAGACGTTCTTTCCGTCGACAAAGTCCAAGGTACCAAAGACAACTCTGGACTGGCCATCTTTGTCTCCCTTTGTCCAGCTATTACCCAGCAAGTCCCATTCTGGCTGGAAGCTCCTGCAGAGTGCACATCCGAACCTGGGCTCCAATGCTGTGAGCAGTACAGCAACACCGTAGTCTCTCGGCGACTTTGTCAGTTGGGCGTAGCTGGCGTCGTTGAGCTTGAGCGGGCGGCCGGTTGACAGTGATTTGGCGCGGGCGTCATTGAAGCGGTCGCCGGCGGGCTTCTTGGCTGCGAGGGCTACAAAGGGCAGCAGCGAGGCTGTGAGGAGCGTGAACCACCGCATTGTGTCGTCTAGCGGGTGGGGTGGATGATTGTTGCTGGAAGACGTTTGTTCGAGTAGACACAATGCTTGGGAACGTGGCCTTGACGGCTGTCGGAGCTTGCGGGCCTGCGTAATGGCGCTAGGGCGGGCAGGGATGTGCGCGACTTGCCGCCGCTGCAGCCCTCCATGGGGACAAACACCCGTTGCCATTGTGAACAAGGCTCCGATCAAGCAGTGACTGGGGACAGGTGAATGCGATAGACATCTTGAGAACACTGTACTTGTACAGCGACTTGTATTTTCTTTCATTCTTCATATTATCCTACTATTTCGTCCCGTCGCGCTATTACAACTCGGTCCGCACTTCTCGGCGCTCTGTTTGTTTACCCAAGTCGCGTCTCCCGCAAACCCCACCACCATCAGTCCTACACCCCTTCACACCACAAAGCAGATATTACACCATGGTCGCAACCATGGACGCAGACATCGATAGCAATTATGAGATGAAAGATGTAAGTGCAAGAGAACTGGGCCGTTGCTTCCGACTCACCCCAACTAATTCCCACCCTCTCAGCTTCAACATGCGCTGCGAAACGCAAACTTAGAACTCAGCCTTGAAAGGAGTAAGCATTCGGTCGAGATTGTAGCCAAGGATGAGGAAATTCGGAAGTTGCGGGTCGCCCAGTGCCTCCTGCAGGATGAGAATAGCGACCTCCACGAACAACTCGAGGAAGAGCAAGGCCGTGCAGACGAACTGGACAACGCCCTCGATGATGCTCTCGCACAGCTGGATGAGCAACGGGCCGAGGGCGAAGCTGCACAAAACACAATCCGCACCCAAGCGCGGGAGATCGCGAATCTCAAGGTGAGCACGTCAAGCACACCGGCCAAAGCGCCGCTAACAATGACTAGGCCGAACTGAAAGCCATGGAGAACGTAACCTCCGACTCCAACAAGATCCTCTCCGACAAACTCGCCCTATCTCGCGAAATCTCATCACTGCGCCCTGAAGTCGAACACCTACGCGCCCAAGTCGAATCAAACACAGGCCTGCTCACCGAGAAGCTGGCCCTGCAACGTCAGCTGACCACACTCCAAGCCGAGCTCGACAACGAGAAGCGCACCGCTGCACGTGCGCTGGCGAAGCAAGGCAAGAAGATGGAACAAGACGAGGAGTTGCGTGGCGAGTTGGAGGAGGTGCGCCAGGAACTCGCCACCGAGAAGAAGGAACGCATGAAGGCGGAGGCTGGGCTCGCAAAGGCTGAAAAGGCAATGGAGAAGGTGCATGCTGATCTGGAGTCGCAACAAAAGTCAACGGAACAACTACAGGCCAAGGTCGAGAAGTTGTCAAAGAAGGAAGCCAGCAAGGCCAGCAAGCGTGATGAAGCTCATGACGCCGCGATTGAAGAGCTGCGTCAGGAGTTGGACCAAGAGAGGACTGCACGTTTGCAAGCAGAGAAGGCTAGCAAGAATACCAGAGACCGTGATGCCGAGATTGAACAACTACGTCAAGAACTGGAGCAGGAGAAGCGCGAGCGTCGAAAGACTGAGAAGACGTCCAAGCAGGGCTCTCAATCGACAGACACCCAGGTTGAGGCTGTACGGAAAGAACTCGAAGAAGAGAAACGTGAGCGTAAGAAGCAAGAGAAGGAGTTCAACAAGACACTGGCAGAGCTTCAGGGTCGAAACACTGTCCTTGATGACAAGCTAAGTGCTTTCCGTGAAAAGCTACGGACAACCAAGGAGAAGCTCAAGGAGAAGGAGGCTGAGCTCGAAAGAGCAGAGAGGGCGCAGACGGCACCACCCGCTAAGAGCAAGCCGACAGTTGCCGCCAAAGCCGCCGTAAAGAATGCACGGAAACGTGTGGCTGCTACTGCCGAACCCGAGACGATGTTGGGTACGCCAGGAGACGGCTTCCCTGCGAAGAAGGCTAAGCGCGGAACCTCAGTGTCTGCAGTTGGCGACACGTCGACCTTTTCTTTGACACCATTCCTCAACCGTGCTGGTAATGTAACAGCTGCCAGCCCCATTGTTGAGGAAGACGAAGCAGAAGATGACGATGCGGAGGAAGAGGCTGTCCAGGAGCAAGCCACTCCTACAGCACCGCCCAAGAAGGCCTCAAAGACTATTCAGCCGAAGGTCAAAGCTCTGGCTCCAGCTGCGTCGAACAAGGCCAATGCAAAGCCTCGTAAGAAGAACCCTGCTCCTGCCCTGGAAATGGTCACGGAGGAGGTTTCTGAAATCTCACACAACACAACTAAAGAAGAGTCTGAAAACGCACCTGTGTCTATTCCGCTCAAGGACAACGACGGGCCCTCGAAGAAGAGCACTAAGATCAAGCCTCGCAAGTCTCTCATGTCGTTTGCCACGTTTGCCGAGGAGCCAGCAGCGGAAAAGAAGAAGAAGCGTAAGCTCGGCGCCAGTGCTGGCAAGACACTATTCGACGCCGAGGATGGCGAAGATGCTGCGCCTTTGAAGCCTGTGGGCATCAGCAAAGGTCTGTTTGCAGCGCGCGCATTGGGCAAGAGCGTGTTGGGCAAACAGGGTCAGCAACGACCTATTTCTGGTGGGTTTAACATGATGAGTGAAGAAGCGTTTACGTTTTCGCCGCTCAAGAAGGATCGGAGGGGAGCGAGTATTCTTAAGTAACTTGTCTGGTGCTGGGTTACGTGGGATCTATGTTGCAGCCGATATTATTATGCGGAAATTGAATATTGTCATTTCAAGGGCGTTGGTTGGTGGTTTCTTATTCTTGCATGGTTGGACTGGGACATTGTTTTCGATTCCGAATAGACGTGCCAATTGAGCGACGCTGTCATTGTACGATTATGTGGTGTGGGCCCATTAGCTATACAGTAGCCTCATATATGCTATCTAAAAGTAGTTTTCAGGCCAGTCTTTGTTGTCTCTTCACTTTCCCAGGTTAATCGTAGTTAACCATTTCGCCTACTGCCAATCAGAAAGCCCATGTGCCTTTTTCACATCTCTCCATGCCGCAAACAAGCGCAGTCCAACTTAGCACCCTCGCGTTAGTTCCTCCAACAGGGCGCTTAAACAAAACCCTGAGGCGCTTGAGGCGCCCATGTCGCGGCGCGTCAAAAATCCCATAGAATACGAGATTCTAACCCAATACCGTGGCTATGGCGCAGCGTGCGGCGTAGTCAACAGTGGAGACTTGCGCTTTATATGTATACGGTTAGGAAAATAGGCGTGTGTGCGGGTAACAGTCAGGCAAACATCAGCCAGCGGTGCTGAGGCTAATCCTAAATAGAGGGTATGTCTTTTTCTAGAACACGGCAAAGAAGGGGGAGGGGGAGGGGCTGACTACGATGGAAGAACATGTGGACGATTGAAAGGTGAGAAGGGGCCTAATCAAGGCTATGCTACGATAACAATGCCTCAAGAATGAGGCACTAGGTGTAAGTGACCCTTTTTTTTCTTCTCACCGGTAAAATCACTTTCAAGGCAAAGATAAGGGTGAAATTCGCTCAGGGCGCAGGGGCGCGCGGTGCTGCTGGCCAGTGTGATGCCGAAAACGTTTTGGCGACTAGGGCGTTGGCCGGACCCGAGTACCCAGAGCTGAGTATGCGAGATATACGACGGTCTTTTTTGATCGGGTAGAAGAGAAATTGAGGGCTTGGTGACCATGTATGCCGCATGATCATTGTATGCAGTGTAGTGTAAAGACGCCATGCAGACGCATGTATGCTATGTCAACTGCGCGCATAGGGAAAAGTAAAAATGAAATGCAAAAGGGATGAGGTTGTTGGTAAAGAGAGCTGTGCCGCTGGAAGCCTCCACCAACGCTTTGGTAATACTACTACCGCGCCTCAGCATTGTTGTAGATGTTGTGGCGATGCGCGCTTAGGGATTTCCCAGGGAAACAGAAACAAGATGGCCGCGAGGGGGTGTGCGTTTGGGTCTGGAGGGACAAGGGTCTTGTTCTCTCTTCGCCACATGGATCGCCCCACTGGCAGGACAGGGCTGCATGTACACCCCGGCCATGATGCGCCAATATGTGTACCTCGGCGCCGAGATAGAAGAAAGGCTGTAATTAAGTGATACGTGACCTCGACAACTGTCAAGTCGCTGACGTCGAAGATATTGGAGGGCGTGTGGCGGGTTTTGGTGGTGGTCGGTTGGAGTGTGCCGAGTATGCCTTGGGAGTCTTGTTCTGCACGTCATGAGTGGATGGGTGTGGCACCGAGTTAGCCGTGTGTCTGTGGGTAGGAGGCCTTGTGAGGCGAATAGGGATTTTGTGTTTCGGTGAGGGTTGGAAATGTCGCAGAAGAGTATGGGACAATGGCGATTGAGAAAGGAAGTGGGATGTGCGGGGTTTTGCCATGGGAAGTCGACCAGAGTTGAAGACGGTAGTATTCAAGATGGAGTTGGCCCAGTAGACAAACTCGCATATGTCAATGATTACCACATGACACTTGAATCGCCAATAAATTGTATGCCTCAATCCGCATCTACCATGTCCCGTGGGAGAGAGAAAGACATAGCACAGCCCCAAGAAGGCGGCCTAGCTAGCGCAACATCCTCAGGCTAAGCTAGCTTCCCCGCTTTCCCAAACCGTGAATACAGTTGCTCAGTTGATCACGCATATAAAACCAACCATATCCTGCGCGCCACGTTGAAGAAATGTCCTCTCACACTGCAGAATCCATCTCCTCTACAAAGCCCATTCTATCGAGCAACGGAAAAAATCCAGCAAAGATGAGCGACACTAATGGAAAGGCTCCCATGCCCGGTGCAAGCAACGGAACATCGAGTGTCCACGAGCCCATTATCAAGGTCCAGCCCCCGCGACGAGAAGATCTCCAGCCCAGCTATGCCCGTGTTATCCAGCCTGACGATGCGGATGTCGATACAAACGGATGGTATGGCGGCATGGTAAGTTTATCTTCCTCTCCCTCCACTACACCACTGTAGTAGCCCTTTACATGTCAAATCACGTGATTAACACCCACCTCCCCACTCCCAGATCAACACTCTCGGCAACTTGATCGGCACTTGCGGCGCAATCCCCTGCTGCATCATCTGCCCCAACCCCTACAAGCCCGTCAGCCAAGGCAACGTCGGTCTGGTCACAAAATTCGGACGCTTTGCCCGTGCAGTCGACCCAGGTCTCGTCTACGTGAACCCACTGTCCGAGCACCTTGTGCAAGTCGACATCAAGATCCAGATTGTCGAGGTCCCCAAGCAAGTCTGCATGACCAAAGACAATGTGTCACTGCAATTGACGTCGGTAATTTACTACCGTATCACCTCGCCGCACAAGGCGGCGTTTAGTATTAGTAATATTCGCCAGGCGCTGGTCGAGCGCACGCAGACGACGCTGAGGCATGTGGTGGGTGCGCGCGTGCTGCAGGATGTGATTGAGCGCCGTGAGGAAATTGCGCAGTCGATCCGCGAGATTATCGAGGAGACGGCGTTGGGCTGGGGTGTCGAGGTCGAGTCAATGCTGGTCAAGGATATTATCTTTAGTCAGGATCTGCAGGATTCGCTGTCCATGGCTGCACAGAGTAAGAGGACGGGTGAGGCCAAGGTTATTGCTGCGAGGGCTGAGGTTGAGGCCGCCAAGTTGATGAGGCAGGCGGTATGTTTTATTCTCCCTTTGTTATCAACGTTCTTGAGAAGAGGAAGGATATACTAACTTGAAGACAGGCTGACATCCTTTCTTCCGCCCCGGCTATGCAAATCCGCTACCTCGAGGCTATGCAATCCATGGCCAAGTCTGCAAACTCCAAAGTCATCTTCCTCCCTGCCCAGAACCAAACCGTGCAGAATGCACTTGCGCAGGCCGAGGCTGCGGGCCAGGGTCCCAGTGCCCATGGCTTCCAGTCTTCGGCGGCCCAGGAGTACGGAAGTAATGACCAAGGCTTCCAGAGCGCTATTAATGCTCATGTCGTGGAGAACATGTAAAAGGCGGGGTACGGTGTGGTTATGACTTATTCTCTTTCTTTCTGTCTGTGGGTTTCTAGTTTTACTGGCAGGTCGTGTTGATACCCTACTTCCCCCCACCCCCCTCGGCTTCTATAATTCCACTCGCTTGTAATGTATGGTAGATGTAAGTTTCCCTAGGCTAGGAATTATAGGTAGAATGGCAATGATGTGATATGATAATATACGAGGTTTAAGACAGTTATTGTACTTCTTCTTTCTTATCTTCAAGTGTATCCGGAATCCTGGTACAGCATAGAGACACATCTTCACTCACTCAGCACCAAATCCCTTCATACCATTAAGTTTGAACATTTTGATTGATCCGCTTCGTTAAACGTCATCCTATTTGCAAAAAAAAAGAAAGTCAACATGTACAACCTCCTCATGGGCCTGATTGGGCTTTTTGTACAAGCCCTTTGCCTCTTCACCTATCCTTCCACATTCCCATCTTGATACATACAAATCCCCTCTCTTCCTCCGTTCTTATCAACAATCAAACAAAAAGAATAAACCAAAAACGCTCCAAAATGCAACATATCCCGCAAAACCCAACACAACCTAATGTGCCAGAAAAAAATGGGGTGTAAAAGTAATATATAACAAGAGAAGCCCCCCTTTTTTGTTTTTCTCTTCCTCGTTAAAAAAAAAGATTCCCCGCGACGTAATGTGCAAAGAAGTGATGCTAAAAGATTCGCTGTGATGTGCAAACCAGAAGAAGAAACCAAGACGATCCCGAAAAGTGTGAGAAGATGAGAGAATATATAAAAGAAAGGAGGAAATATACGGCATAGGGAATCAAAAGCGCTGAGTGAGCAGTTGTGTGATGGACTAACGTCGAAAAAGAAGGATATGCGATAAAGTTTTGTTTAAGAATGATAGAAAAAGACTACGAAGGAAGCACAGACTTGTCCGTTGTGGCTCCGTTTGCCAATATCGGCCGGATTTCTTTTGGCTGTGATTCGCCATAGGCCCATTTTGTGGCTGCGTTGGTAAGGTTCGCGCAAATTGGATCGACGTACTTGACCCATAGCGAGGCGCAGCGATACAGTATGTAGTAGAAGACGGCAATGGCGATGAGAATGTGAGGAATGGATCCGCGCTGAAGATCCTGCATTTCTCCCTTTTCGTTCTTTGGTGGGTTCATGGCCGAGGGCAGGTAGATCATCCAGGTCAAGACCGTCTTGATGAGCGTGTTGTGGATCAGGTAGACAGGGAAGCTGACACGACCTAGGAAGTTGAAGACGGGTGAGGTAAGCACTTTGCGTGCGTTTTTCGAAAAGAAGATGCCAAGCAGGATAGTGGCGGCTCCCAGGTGATCCCAGTAACGTCGGATATCCGTCTTCTCGGCCGTGAGGGTGTGCATAATTGTGGCCATGGTTTCAGACCAGTGTGCGTTTTCAAAAGAGTCTTGGGGAAATCCGGCCATGAACATGCCGAAGATAATCATCATCGCAGGAATAGGCGCCGGTAGAACCGAAGTAGCCGAGTCTTTGTAGTGGTTGTGTAGCTCGGCAACGAACATGCCAAAGACGATATTCAGGCCCTTGATGGAGCCAACCGTGAGTTCTGTTGCAGTTAGCAATTGGCCTGGCGTCGTCGCTCGTCGAAAATGTAAGCTTACCTATTCCTACTTGCCAGTAGTAGGCATACAAGATTGCGTAAATGAGAAAACGCGCCTTGGACCTGACGAGGACCGTGGC